TTCAAACCAAATTGAGGGACATTTTTAGAACAGGGAAAAAATGAATTGCAGTTAATTGCGATCAAATATTTTTTATTGTTTGATAGCACTAATAATAACAAATTGATGTGTGTAATAATATAAATACACTGAAACACATATGTCTGATTGAACCGTGTCCTGTAGAGCAGATCCCTCTAGCTAGAAGCGGTCTCTGCAAACTCTTGAGTTATAGAGTAAGTTGCATTTTAACTAAGAAACCTGGTAACTTCTGGTTAAGCCGTTGTTTTTGAAGCCGTATAAAAACCCAGAGTTAACCCAGGTTCAAACCATCATTATGTGTTCACATAAAAGCTGACGTGAACAATGATCAACCAATCGCAATCATGGATTTGTAGGAACAAGAAATAATTACCTGAGTCAATTTACGCAACCCTTTAGTGTTATTGCAATTACCGAAACATGGATTAACCTAGACAAGGATATGAATTTTGACCTTGAAGGTTATGAGTTTGTTCATTTGGATAGGGAAAATAAAGGTGGGGGTGGTGTGGGTCTATATGTGAGCAACAATCTCAAATTTCAAGTTATAGATAAAATGTCACTTGCTGTAAAGAACTTGGTTGAATGCATAACAGTTGAAATATATGATGAAAAACATAAGCATGCACTCATTAGTTGTATATATAGATCCCCGGGGTCTGGTATAGAACAATTTAAAGAATGTTTTGAGAGAATGTACATAACAAGTAACAAAACAGTGTTTATATGCGGAGATTTTAATACTGATTTGCTGAATACAAATAATAACAAAATGATAAATGATTTTATTAATACAATCTACAGCATGCATTTGTATCCAGTGATCACTAGACCAACACGAATAACATCTCACTGTGCAACTCTTCTGGATAATATTTTTACAAATAATTTGTCAAATCACTCAGTAAGTGGAATTTTACTGAGTGATATCAGTGACCACCTTCCGGTGTTTACTGTATATGAAAATAATTACAAAGTGACTCAAAGATCTACACATAATAGGGAGTACAGTCGAGTTAGAACAGAGGCGTCTCTAGATGCATTTAAAAACAATTTAAAAGATGAAAGCTGGGTGAGTGTCCTCAATGACAATGATGTAAACAGTGCTTACAATACATTTCTGGATATTTTTAAAAAATTGTATGATAAAAATTGTCCAGTCCGATCAATATGGAAAAAATCTAAGTATAATGAATGTCCTTGGATGACGAAAGGTTTACAGAATGCGTGCAAAAAGAAGAACATACTGTACAAAGAGTTCATAAGACTAAAAACAAAGGAATCGGAAATTAAGTATAAAACCTACAAAAATAAGTTAACAAACATATTAAGGACTAGTAAAAAAGAATACTATGGTAGGCTGCTGCATAGGAACAAAGACAACATTAAGGAAATTTGGAAAATCTTAAACACTGTGATAAAAAAAGGTAGAACACAAAAGAGCTTTCCACATTTTTTTCATATTGACAACAAAGACAACCGCAATATGAATGTTGTTGTTGAGAAACTAAATGAATATTTTGTGAACGTGGGTTCTGACTTGGCAGGCAAAATACCTGATTCAGGTCCACCAGATGGGTGGAAGGAACATCTGACTGAACGTAATTTGAGTTCTATGTTTGTATCAATGGTAGAAGAAAATGAAATTATAGCAATAGTACACAAATGTGCAAATAAGAGATCAAAAGACTGCGACGATATTGATATGTCAGTAATCAAAAAGGTAATTGAGGGTATATCAAAACCACTAACATATATTTGTAATTTATCTTTTAGGACGGGTACATTCCCTAATAAAATGAAAATCGCTAAAGTGTTACCACTGTACAAATCAGGAGATAGACATACTTTTAATAATTATAGACCTGTTTCGTTGTTACCGCAATTCTCAAATTCTTGAAAAACTCTTCAATACACGACTGGAAAAATTTATAAATAAATATAGCTTATTATCGGAGTGTCAGTATGGCTTTAGGGCTAAGCGCTCCACAGCCATGGCACTTATTGATACAGTTGAACAAATATCATCCTCTCTTGATCAAAAACGTCATGCAATCGGAATTTTTGTGGATTTAAGCAAAGCATTTGACACTATAGATCACACAATTTTACTTAGAAAATTAGAACGCTACGGTATCAGGGGTATAGCCTTACAATGGGTAAAGAGCTATCTGAGTGAAAGAACACAGTTTGTAAGATTGGGAGAATATAGCTCTAGATGTTTAAATGTCAATTGTGGAGTTCCACAGGGTTCTGTATTGGGACCAAAATTATTTATTTTATATATCAATGAGTTGTGCCATGTGTCATCGATATTAAAACCCATATTGTTTGCGGATGATACTAATCTGTTTTGCTCTGGCTCGGACCTGCAAAAATTAGTTCAAGATGTAACTACAGAATTTAACAAAATTAGAATGTGGTTCAATATAAATAAATTATCCTTGAACATGAATAAAACAAAATGTATGTATTTTGGAAACAGTGCAAATAATGCAGAAATTACTATATCAATGGATGGCACAAATATAACACAAGTGAACGAAATTAGATTTTTGGGGGTCATTATGGACAATAAAATTAACTGGAAATCACATATTAAGTATGTGCAAAAAAAAGTGTCAAAAAAGTGTTGCGGTCCTTAGTAGAGCAAGGCAGTTTTTAGATCAGCGATCGTTATATATTCTTTACTGTTCACTGGTTTTGCCATATCTCACTTATTGCACAGAAGTATGGGGAAATAATTATAAAACTAATCTGCAGTCATTAGTCATACTTCAAAAGAGAGCAATAAGCCATGTGTATAAAGCAAGTTATTTAGAACATACCAACCCTCTGTTTCTTAAATCAAGATTACTCAAATTTTCAGATTTAGTCTCCTCTCAAACATTACAAGTGGTGTTTAAAGCCAAGAATAAATTGTTACCAGGAAATATTCAAAGGCTTTTTAGTGAAAATGAAGGTGTTTATGAACTAAGAAATAAAATGTTCTTCAAGTCTGTATTTATACAGACAACAAGAAAAAGCTTTTCTGTCTCAGTATCTGGAATAAGATTATGGAATAAGTTGCCAGTGGAAATCAAGGAGTGTGATAATATCAAGCAATTTAAAAGGAAATATACGGAAATGGTTCTTGCAACATATGACAATATGTAACCTTAAGTCATTACAATGAATATACATATATTCTTTTCTAATACTTTGACGATTAATCGCAAGTTAAATCAAGTTCTAATTGTAAGATTTCAATTGGGCACTATCAAGTTTGTCCAAATTATAGAAGAAATAAATTTAACTGTTGCTGTTGCTCCGATGTCATTTCTATAACTATTCTAATCATACAATGGTAACTTGGGGTAGGCGAGTCATGGGTCTGTTGGCTAGGGGTCCCCCCCTCTCAACGGGCACATAAAGCCTCGTCTTCTTAATGCACCACACGGTACAGGAGGTAAACATCATCCACCAAGTCTCAGGGCAGCTGGGTGGGGACTGGTTGATTGAGGGCGTCCACCCACTTTCAACAGGCCACTATACACTCTGGCTTTTTAACGCAACACACTAGAAAGGGTTTACAGTTTGGGCATGCCATTTTCATAATAACAATAAATAGTGGATAGTAATGACAACGAGGCAAGTGGGCAGAATACAAAATGTCTAACATGCCTATATAATATGAAAACGAATATTCATCCATTGATAATGACAAGAAGGATAATTGTTATGATCAATGACATTAACCATAAGTTATAACTATTGTTATTTGTCAAATGTGAAATGCTAAAACCTCTTTATTTGCCAGTGCTGCAAATTGTAAACTAAGGCTGGTGATTGTATGTTGACAAGTATAGCTATAGTAGGATAAACGTTATCTCACAGACATGTACAAGTATATAGTTTTGAAACTAATACAAAATACTCAGGAAGGATTGTTTTCTGTTTGATAAAAATGTAAAAGCAATGTATAACTGTATCATCTTTAACTGCAAATGTAATTTTACATGAACAAGGGGTAGGCACTTATAAGCTTTTGCTTCAGTCTACTCCCTTTGAGCTTCATTAACTGTATGATTGTGAAACATTGGAGGAAGAAAAATGTTAACTGCTCAAATAAACTAAAACTAACTAACTAACTAAATTAAAGCCGCAAGCGGCGTCGAACGGCCCTCGCCGCACCGCGCAAAGAAGGTGGCGCTTAGGCGCCATTTTCCTGCAGCCCTGATGGAGCAACACTGTGTATTTTGAATTCCTATGATCAGTGATTGTGTGTCTCTATTGAAAAGGTAAATCTTAATTTTCCCCATGTAATACTTGACTCAGTCTCTAGGGGGCGCTAATGCAGCAATTTCATGATTCACACTTTAAGTTTACTCAAACCCGAGAGTGGAACAGTCAATTCAAATTTTGTGCAAATCGGACTTTGTATGTGCAAACAAAAGGCATTTATGTTGTACAATAGCGCCCCCTACAAATTCTATTTTTTTGTGTTTCACCAAAGAACACCAAAATAATACATTTTGTGCCAGAAAAAAACTTGTGGCAAAGTTTGGTGAGTTTTGTTCACACTGTCATGTGACCTAGGCCCAGGAGTTGAACAACAGAGTCAAGTTTAGTGCAAATCAGAGTTTGTGAATGTGCTCCTGTTTGCACATACAATCTGTGAGTGTGTCCATACAGTCTCCATTGGATAACATGGGAACTTCACACCTCTCTATGAAAATAACTACACTTTGGGAGTCTGTCACGCTCAGACCGTTTGACTAATTCTATATTCAACTATTGATGGTCCATGTGTTGATTATGTGGAGCGATTTTCAGACAAATTAGTGAAACGGCCGTGGCTGGTTTGATGTTTGAGCGAGGTGTACTTTCCAGAGATTTAACGAGTGTTGGTCGTCGCCACGGCAACAGGATAAAAAATAACCATATGTTGTCATTGACTTTTGGAATCCAGATGACAAAACAGAATTATGTGCAAAATTTCAAACATTTTCAAACACTTTGAAAAAAAACAGGTGAAAAAACACCTGTTCTGACACCAGTTCTGACACCAGTTCTGACACCAGTTCTGACACCAGTTCTGACACCAGTTCTGACACCTGCTCTGACACCTGCTCTGACACCTGCTCTGACACCTGTTCTGACACCTGTTCTGACACCTGTTCTGACACCTGCTCTGACACCTGCTCTGACACCAGTTCTGACACCAGTTCTGACACCAGTTCTGACACCAGTTCTGACACCTGCTCTGACACCTGCTCTGACACCAGTTCTGACACCAGTTCTGACACCTGCTCTGACACCTGTTCTGACACCTGTTCTGACACCTGTTCTGACACCTGTTCTGACACCTGCTCTGACACCTGTTCTGACACCTGTTCTGACACCTGTTCTGACACCTGTTCTGACACCTGCTCTGACACCAGTTCTGACACCAGTTCTGACACCTGCTCTGACACCTGTTCTGACACCTGTTCTGACACCTGCTCTGACACCTGTTCTGACACCTGTTCTGACACCTGTTCTGACACCTGTTCTGAATGTTGGCCATTATTTGGCAAGTTTTCATGCATGTTTCGATGGTCAAATTAAGGTTCAAAGTGCAGAATAATGTTTCGAAAGCCTCGAGCAAAAACAATATTGGTTTCAATGGCACATGATACATCATTTTAAAGCGTTTGAGTTTACGCACGCAACAGTCATATTTTGGTGAGTGACGGGTACCAACGCGTCCGTCACGCACTGCCACCATTTGCATTCACCATTATGAAAGCAATAGGCCCTTACCCCAGTCGGTTATACCCTAATAATGGTAAAATATGACGGATCCACAGTGTTGTACTTTGCGATGTATCAACCTTTTCTTCGTGCTTTGGCTGCAACAGACATTCCAGGTGTAATAAAAAAACAAAAAGAAAACATAGTGCATCATCAGCTGAGGTATTTGGCCACAGAGCCTGGCGCTCCAGTCATCACCACTTTCATGCTAACAAATCTCTAAACTTCTATAAATTCCAGTCAGTGGCAGCACTGACAGCACTTTAGTCATAATGACTGCTAAATATTCAGAGCTTTAAAACTCATAATGACTGATTTTTAACAGCTTTAAACTCTCATGACTACTGAATGTAGGTGTGCTTACCACACGTTAAAAACTTAACAAAACATACAACACCTTACAACACATTCAACACTTTACAGCACATTCAGCACCTTTCAACACATTCAACACTTTACAGCACCTTACAACACATTCAACACTTTACAGCACCTTACAACACATTCAACACTTTACAGCACCTTACAACACATTCAGCACTTTACAGCACATTCAGCACCTTACAACACCTAAAACACTTTACAACACATTCTTCCTTCTTCTAGGTCTGAATGTAAATGAGAGAGTGAATGGTGTTGGAGCTGATGGTCCAGTGTGTTCTGGACTCGCTTCTGTCATCACCGTGTGTGGAATGATTGGAACAATATCTGACTCTGAACATTGTAAAGCGCTTTGGGTCTGTACCTTGGTCTGTAAAATACACCATATTATAAATAAACATTACTTACTACTTCTCGCTTATTTTTCCCTCTTCTTCTTTGTTCTTTCTTCTTGATTCTTCTTCTTCTTCTTCCCTTACCTATACAACACCGATGCAGCCACTCACAATGGCTTCAGCCATTGTACCATTTTTAGTTACTATTGTTTTCTTTTTAGAATGATCAATGCTTTCCTTATTGGCTACACGGACATGTCAGTCATTCGGCAAAAGAACACTTCCCTGGCCGTCTGGCTACTTACGGAGATGTTGCAGACAAAAACAACCACAGTCTCATTTTGTAGCTAACGAGTTGGGGAACACGAGCATACCCTGTGTTTGGATGATAAACAAAGCTGAAAGTCCGCTAACAGTGGAAGAGCAGCCTCTGTGGTCTTTCAGAACTTTTTTTTGCTAAAGATAAATGCACATTTTTGGATTATTTCTCCAGAATGGATTATACTTTGGGAAATACAAGTGGATGTTTTTTCCATGGACATTTACGGAGTGAAAGAGCCATAGGAAGCTGGAAGGAGATTTGATTAATGTACGGAGCACAAGAGAAAAGCTAAAACTTTTTCGGAAGGGATTTATTTTGTGCCCATATTATGTGTTATATCTTTTGAATGCAAAATCTATTGTTTACAAGCTTTAAAATGATATACAGCTTTTGGGGTTTGGTGTTCAAAATGCATCTGCTATTGCCAGTGGAACAGTTTAAAAATGAAAACGTCCCTTCGGCGGGTTCTAAGAGGTTAACTCTCAAGCCTAGGGTACACTTGCGTGGCGCTGGTTACGTTTGCAGTTGCGCTGGACGTAACGCAGCCACAGCTGCTGGTACACTCTCGCGTTCCCCTTGCGGAGTTTTGAAGAGAATGTTGTAATCCCACATCCAACCACATGATGGCGATCTCACAGGAGTTGCCAGAGAGACCAAAGCAGTCTCATTTACGCTGCTACTTTCTCCTCCTCAGAACAAAAGCATTAGCAAACCAAGCTGCTTGAGCTCATTACATGTATAGCTAGTGTAGATTTATTTCATATTAAGTCATTTCAACTGATGCTGTGAATAAAGACTTAGTTCTTGTTGGAAACATAGTTATTATTACATTTCATTCACCACAAGCAGAAAAACAATAAGTGGTAAATATCTGAGACCAAACATGAACGATTTGAAGTGCAGGAGGAATGGAACAGACGCGATAAGCTACGAGTGCAGATTCAGAAGACAGGAACAGTGCAAACCACTGTACAGTTTATAAGTTGGATATACAACAGAACTGAACAGTCCAGTCTCCTGTATATCAGGCGCTGAGCCATGAACCCAAACTACTTTTCCTTCAGAGCCTTCAAAGCACGAAGCTATCTGGTCTGGAGTCAGCCGCTCCATGCTTCCGTCCAAAACACACACACGGACCAATCACAGCGGAGCTTCTCTGCGGCGGCGGCTGCGTAGTTAGACATTTTCGAGGGGGCGCGGAAGGCTACGCAAGGGCCTTGCGGTGATCCTTGCGTTGCGCAAGTGACGTCACGTCACCACCGTAAGCTCCGCGCGACTATACACTAGGCTCAAGGCCTAGGGCACCTGAAGGTGTGAAATATTACTTTGGCTCTGTAGCGCCAAACCAACTGATCATATTCATTACAATTTCACACACATTTTTCTATGGCTACAGGCACAAAGGCGGCGCCACCTCCTTTGCGCGGTGCGGCGAGGGCAGTTTGACGCTGCTTGCGGTTTTATTATTTTATTGACATGTTGGCACACTTCTTTCTTTTGCACAATCTGAGTAATTCTATCTATGCTAAATATGACATGTACAGTAAATTTCAACAATAAAGTCTATCTTATTTTATCTATACAGAGAATCTTTGTGGTTCCATCAAGCCCAGCGCAGAAGAAAATCCCCTTTGCCAGAGTCAACCACAACAAGTACATGGTGACCGACAGAACAGCTTACATTGGTGCGTGCCACTACCTGCATGCTTTTCACCATGTTATAGATGTATTTCGGATTTTGACATTTACACTGAACATCTATGAAAACAGCCCTTGTGCTATCCCCGGTCAAGTTGACCCATCACAGTGATTTAAAGATGCCCTCAATTTTCTTTTTGTGCTGAATTTGGATGACTTTCCCAGCCGTGGAATATTTTTTACCTGTCTAGACCCAAATTTAGGGTATATTTAATCTACTTTTGATAATTTGTGGCTTTTGCATTTCTATTCTCATGACGTCCGCAGACAGAAGTTCCCCTTTGCATGCGGACGCCAATTATCATCTCTGCTCTAAAACTCTCAACACTGCTGTGTCACACAGGGCTGCTGACTTTTCATTACATAACATCATCTCAAGGTCTGAAGCATGAGGAAAGGCCCCTCACGATCACTTTTATGTAACATTACTCTATACTGTGATCTGTGGTACTTAATGAGTTAAAGGCGCTATACCCGTCTCTGCAAGGTTAGAATGTTTAGCCCCGCCCCTCAACTCGCTCACAGGCTTCTCAATTCCCCTACGCTCTCCTCCCACCGAGCTATCTAGTTGTATTTGCGATCTGATACATATGCTAACATTAGCATTAGCGCAGCTGTACAACAATCACTGATGAAATGGAACAAAAAAGCAACGCACTGCTAACACAATATATAACTGAAAGATTACCGCTAGTTTCACGTCCGAATGTAGTCAGAGCGTAGATAGTCCGAGCGTAGATAGTCCGAGCGCAGATAGTCCGAGCGCAGATAGTCCGAGCGTAGATAGTCTGAGCGTAGATAGTCTGAGCGTAGATAGTCCGAGCGCAGATAGTCCGAGCGCAGATAGTCCGAGCGCAGATAGTCCGAGCGTAGATAGTCCGAGCGTAGATAGTCCGAGCGTAGATAGTCCGAGCGTAGATAGTCCGAGCGTAGATAGTCCGAGCGCAGACAGTCCGAGCGCAGACAGTCCGAGCGTAGACAGTCCGAGCGTAGACAGTCCGAGCGTAGACAGTCCGAGCGTAGACAGTCCGAGCGTAGACAGTCCGAGCGTAGATAGTCCGAGCGTAGATAGTCCGAGCGTAGATAGTCCGAGCGCAGATAGTCCGAGCGTAGATAGTCCGAGCGCAGATAGTCCGAGCGTAGACAGTCCGAGCGTAGACAGTCCGAGCGTAGACAGTCCGAGCGTAGACAGTCCGAGCGCAGATAGTCCGAGCGTAGATAGTCCGAGCGCAGATAGTCCGAGCGTAGATAGTCCGAGCGCAGATAGTCCGAGCGCAGATAGTCCGAGCGCAGATAGTCCGAGCGCAGATAGTCCGAGCGTAGATAGTCCGAGCGTAGACAGTCCGAGCGTAGACAGTCCGAGCGCAGATAGTCCGAGCGCAGATAGTCCGAGCGCAGATAGTCCGAGCGCACATAGTCCGAGCGCAGATAGTCCGAGCGCAGACAGTCCGAGCGTAGACAGTCCGAGCGCAGATAGTCCGAGCGCAGATAGTCCGAGCGTAGATAGTCCGAGCGCAGATAGTCCGAGCGTAGATAGTCCGAGCGCAGATAGTCCGAGCGTAGATAGTCCGAGCGCAGATAGTCCGAGCGCAGATAGTCCGAGCGCAGATAGTCCGAGCGCAGATAGTCCGAGCGTAGATAGTCCGAGCGCAGATAGTCCGAGCGCAGATAGTCCGAGCGTAGATAGTCCGAGCGTAGATAGTCCGAGCGCAGATAGTCCGAGCGCAGATAGTCCGAGCGTAGATAGTCCGAGCGCAGATAGTCCGAGCGCAGATAGTCTGAGCGTAGATAGTCCGAGCGCAGATAGTCCGAGCGCAGATAGTCCGAGCGCAGATAGTCCGAGCGTAGATAGTCCGAGCATACCGAGCGTAGATAGTCCGAGCGCAGATAGTCCGAGCGTAGATAGTCCGAGCGTAGATAGTCCGAGCGTAGATAGTCCGAGCGTAGATAGTCCGAGCGTAGATAGTCCGAGCGTAGATAGTCTGAGCGCAGATAGTCCGAGCGTAGATAGTCTGAGCGTAGATAGTCTGAGCGTAGATAGTCCGAGCGCAGATAGTCCGAGCGTAGATAGTCCGAGCGTAGATAGTCCGAGCGTAGATAGTCTGAGCGCAGATAGTCCGAGCGTAGATAGTCTGAGCGTAGATAGTCTGAGCGTAGATAGTCCGAGCGCAGATAGTCCGAGCGCAGATAGTCCGAGCGTAGATAGTCCGAGCGTAGATAGTCCGAGCGTAGATAGTCCGAGCGTAGATAGTCCGAGCGTAGATAGTCCGAGCGTAGACAGTCCGAGCGTAGACAGTCCGAGCGTAGACAGTCCGAGCGTAGACAGTCCGAGCGTAGACAGTCCGAGCGTAGACGAGTCCGAGAGCGTAGACAGTCCGAGCGTAGACAGTCCGAGCGTAGACAGTCCGAGCGTAGACAGTCCGAGCGTAGATAGTCCGAGCGCAGATAGTCCGAGCGCAGATAGTCCGAGCGCAGATAGTCCGAGCGCAGATAGTCCGAGCGCAGATAGTCCGAGCGTAGATAGTCCGAGCGTAGACAGTCCGAGCGTAGACAGTCCGAGCGCAGATAGTCCGAGCGCAGATAGTCCGAGCGCAGATAGTCCGAGCGCAGATAGTCCGAGCGCAGATAGTCCGAGCGCAGATAGTCCGAGCGCAGACAGTCCGAGCGTAGATAGTCCGAGCGCAGATAGTCCGAGCGCAGATAGTCCGAGCGTAGATAGTCCGAGCGCAGATAGTCCGAGCGCAGATAGTCCGAGCGTAGATAGTCCGAGCGTAGATAGTCCGAGCGCAGATAGTCCGAGCGTAGATAGTCCGAGCGCAGATAGTCCGAGCGTAGATAGTCCGAGCGCAGATAGTCCGAGCGCAGATAGTCCGAGCGCAGATAGTCCGAGCGCAGATAGTCCGAGCGTAGATAGTCCGAGCGTAGACAGTCCGAGCGTAGACAGTCCGAGCGCAGATAGTCCGAGCGCAGATAGTCCGAGCGCAGATAGTCCGAGCGCAGATAGTCCGAGCGCAGATAGTCCGAGCGCAGATAGTCCGAGCGCAGACAGTCCGAGCGTAGATAGTCCGAGCGCAGATAGTCCGAGCGCAGATAGTCCGAGCGTAGATAGTCCGAGCGCAGATAGTCCGAGCGTAGATAGTCCGAGCGTAGATAGTCCGAGCGCAGATAGTCTGAGCGTAGATAGTCCGAGCGCAGATAGTCCGAGCGCAGATAGTCCGAGCGCAGATAGTCCGAGCGTAGATAGTCCGAGCGTAGATAGTCCGAGGCGGTCCCGCAGGTCTCTCCCTCAGACCAGTCTCTCCAGAGGATACGATGTAAGCTAGCTCTGTTCAGGGCTTGGTTTCTTCTTTGATCATGTTCTGGCTTCTTCTCTTCCTCACTGTTGTGTGGTTTGGGCTGTTTTGCTGTGTCTGCAGTTACAGCCAGAGGAGTTATAGCCACTTATGCTAACATGCTACTGTGTTTAGCAGCGCTGTAGAGGCTAGAGGACGCAGCCTCGTTCTGTGATTGGAGGAGAGCGGGCGTCACGCTAAGTCTCTACTCAGCACTTTTTACTGAGTTCATACACAGCTGAATCAATTAGCTCAAGTTTTACATTCAATTACAGATTATAATACAACTTGTATGTAGTAATAAGCATTTTTATTAACTAATAAATAAAAAAAATGGCTATAGTATCTTTAATCACAAATACATTAACTTGTAATCTATATATAATAAAATTATATAAATTATATACAAATTTGTACCAGGACTTGACCCAGGACTTGTTTGTAGTAACCCGTGTGTTTTCCCAGGGACATCAAACTGGTCTGGGGACTACTTTGTGAACACCGCGGGCGTGGCTCTGCTGGTGCAACAGCCCCCTGCAGGGGCCCCAGTGTCTCCTGGGACGGTCCAGGCGCAGTTGCAGCAGGTGTTTGAGCGGGACTGGAGCTCCTCCTACAGCTCTCCTTTGCCCCAGAGCAGGAACGGCTTGGACATGTGTGCAGTGTGATTCTACCATTCTGCTTTTACCATATTTACATTGATCAATCTCATGAACAAACCTAGAGTTGTTTTTCTATTCTACTTCTACACAGACATCAGGAACATGTACGTCCCCCAGGCCCTACCGCCTAAAGGCTCCTTTTTCAAACTAGGAACACTGTGATGAACACTCAACAATGACATCACTGACAGTTTTCTGTCAAGGATGTATAAATGAACAAAAATTAGATAATTGCCAAACATTACATCCTACGAACACAGCCAAGTACTTCACCTTTTATTCAGTTTTAGTTGATTAAAGCAGAATGAAATTTCCCACTTCTACCAGTGGACACCTCCTCTGGTAGAAGTGGATCCTACCCATTCATTTCACCATTATACATGTTTATCCATATACTTAGGTATATGGGAGGATTTTCTACTTCCAGGTGTATCAAGACAAATGGTCCTCCTAATTAAACCTTTCTGGTGATACGTGCTCGTCAAATTAGACCAAAGAGTTTAGTTCAAAAAGTGGAGGATGGTTCTTTCCTAAAATGTGGGAAAATCTAACCCTATATACCTTTTAATCTTTCAAATATGGAATGCCTAACTTGGTATGAGCTTGAGTGAAGTCACTCATCTCACCACTAAGTCCATCTCAGGAATTAAATTGTATTTGTGAACGGATTATAGACCTTTGAAAATGCTTAAGACTTTTCCATACTACTGCTTTTGGAAAGAACTCATGATATATTCAATTCTGCCTTTATATCCAACCAGGAGATTCTCAGGGCATTTGTTTTGATATGAATGTAGCTAGTTTTCAATAAAAAGTCTTCAATCAAACCTGGTATTGATATTCAGATTAGTTTATCTTATGGGACTTACTAATCTTCACACATACAACAGATAGCTATCCTTGTACTGAGCAAAAATGACATTAATTCAATATTGAGGCGTTCTCATTCTGACCATGCATTAGCAAAATTGTGTCTTAATGACTTGCAAATCAGGTGAACTGTGCAGGACAGAACCAGTGTTAAAGGAGAGGATAGTATGGAGAAGGAAAACTGCTCATGAATCCAAACCTCAGTAAAACATGTTTGGTGGTGCACTTTGTTCCCTCTCACTTGATGTGACCGATCGTCTTTTCAGGCATTTTAATGGCATGTTCTGAGCAGTGACCACATCATTCACCTGAGCTGAACATGAGTAACAATTGAGTTAAGAGTAGTGCACTATGCCATACTTTCCAATCCTCCAAACATAAGTACACATACTAAAAATATACGGTACTGTTTCAAACAAAATTCAAACTCCCAGCCACACAATGACTTAAACGGTTTTACCATTTCCCTGACCGAGTACGGTACAATGAGAGTTCAGTTGGTGTGTTCATGTCCAAGTGCTTTGTGTCTGTCACTAAATATATATACACATTTCATGAGAATCCATATGAAGTTTTATGCAATGGGTAAATTTAATTCCAACATAAACTTGGGGCAATACTTATAACTTCTCTAATTTACATAAAACCTCTGGTGTCTAAAGAGTTAAATAATTCAAATCCATGCAAATACTTGGCAGTTAAAGCCTCCAATTAGTTTGATTTTCAAATCCAATAATGTAAAGGGTCCAGGGGATCTCTTTAAACTGGTGTAACTTTCATCATGACCTAAAAGCCTAAATTGCAATGGTAAGAAAACAAACTTTTCTACAACTCTCAAATTATATAATTTATTAATAATACCATTATTGACAGACTTTCAAGGTAAATTGTGCGGGACAGAACCACTGTTATAGGAGAGGATAGTCCTGATCCAAAGCCTGAGTGAAACGTGCTTGGTGCTGCACAGATCGTGAACTGATTTGAGTCTTTGAATATATTCTAATATGTTCACAGAATTATAAGACAAAGCAACTTATTCACATAGAAAAATATGTTATACTTTGAAGCACGTCAGAAGCTCAGGGACCTGGGTCCTTTTGCTTTAATCAGTCATTGGCCACATTCTGTCCCGCTGAGATCAACCCTGGAGGATGGTGTTGTAGAAGGCATGGGGGGGCTGGGGCTGCTTGTCCTCTGGCTCTCTGGGCCCCTGGGGAGTCTCAGGGGTTCCCGGGCTTCTCTTGTCCACGATGGGCCTATGCTCGTCGTCGGGGCAGCTCTCCTCACAGCGGGGCAGCTGCAGCAGCGCGGTCAGTCCGTGCACATCTGCCATCTTGTGGAGTGCTCGCAGCAGCAAGAACATCATCATGAGGCCCAGGAAGAGGTACACTACAGGAGCAGTACAGGTACTGTCACTTTACTATCGCCTCATGCTTCTAACATGTACAGATGTATACATACATATATTCAATATTCTTCTTTATTTTGCTAATGTTAGAGAATGTATTTTAAATTTTAAAGTATGGAGATAAATGTTCGCTTATCTTGTGCTGTGTGCTCCTCATTCCCGCTGTTCTGTAACTGGGGAAACTAAAATATATGCAGCATGCAGGCTTCAGACTATTTTTGTTGGTCCAAAATCATCATACACAAGACTTTTTTACAGAAAATAATGAAAATATTATTCCTAACCTGGTCAGATGCATTTGTTCCCTACTTTAAACATCTTTCTAAAAGCCTGGACACCCTGTTCTATAAGTTCCGTGCCTCCAACACAAATGCAGCTAATTTAGATGTTTTAATATATTTTCTATGAAATGTGTATTTTGGACTGACCTCATGGAAGGACCAACCATCTCCAGCAGACTGCGCTGCTGCTCTTTTAGGTTGTGCATAATCACTTAATCCACTGTGTCACGTGTGGAGCACAGGTCAGGGGCCCCCAGCAGTAGCAGTGCAAGAGACTTGTAATCTACAGGTCCTTCTAAAAAGTTCATTATTATTTTCTGGAATTTACTGACAAACATTAGACTTTCATACATTTTAGATTAATTACACACAACTGAAGTAGTGTAAGCCTTTGTTTTAATATTGATTTTGGCAAAAAAAAGTAAAACCAAAAATCCCTATCTCAAAAAATTTGCATATCATGAAAAGGTCTAAACGAGCCATTAACCTAATCATCTGAACCAACAAATTAACTCTAAACACTTGCAGAAGAATCCTGAGGCTTTTAAAAACTCCCGGCCTGGTTCTTTACTCAAAACTGCATCATGGGTAAGACGACCTGACTGTGTCCAGAAGGCAATCACTGACACCCTCAAGCAAGAGGGTAAGACACAGAACGACATTTCTGAGCCGCTGTTCCCAGAGAGCTGTATCAAGGCACCTCAGTGGGAAGTCTGTGGGAAGGAAAAGGCAGACAACACTGTACAACACCAAGAGGTGACCGGACCCTGAGGAGGATGGTGGAGAAGGGCCAATTCCAGACCTTGGACCAGACCTTGGGGGACTTGGAAGAAGTGGACTGAGTCTGGAGCAGAAACATCCACAGCCATCGGCTGTGTGCAGGAAATGGGCTACAGGTGCCGCATTCCCCAGGTCAAGCCACTTTTGAACCAGAAACAGCGGCAGAAGCACTGACCTGGGCTACAGAGAAGCAGCACTGGACTGTTGCTCAATGATCCAAAGTACTTTTTTTTTTTGATGAACGCAAATTTTGGCATTTCATTCGGTAATCAAGGTGCCAGCGTCTGGAGGAAGACTGAAATGCCAAAATGCCTGAAGTCCAGTGTCTAGTCCCCACAGTCAGTGATGGTCTGGGGTGTCCTGTCAGCTGCTGGTCCACTGTGTTTTATCTAGGGAAGGGTCAATGCAGCTATCAGGAGATTTTGGAGCACTTCATGCTTCTATCTGCTGAAAAACGTACCCATGCCATGCCATGCCGCATTGATGCAGTCATTTCTACAAAAGGATTCCCGATCAAGTATTGAGTGCATAACTGAACATTATTTTAAGGTTGACTTTTTTGTATTAAAAACACCTCTTTTATTGGTCGGGTGAAATATGCAATTTTTTTTGTTTTTCCTTTACTTTTTTTTGCCAAAATCATCAATATAAAAACAAAAGGCTTCATCTACTTCAGATGTGTGTAATGAATCTAAAATATATGAAAGTCTAATGTTTATCAGTACATTACAGAAAATAAATGAACTTCATCACAAAGGGCCTCATGTATGAAACTTGCGTTCGGCCAAATCAGGGTAAATGATGCGTACGCAAAAAATTTACACTTTTCCGCATTTATCAATCTGGACGTGAGCGAACGGTACTCACAGAATTTACACAAAGTCAATATGTGGTGTAAATGTGTACGCTCAGTTCACCCTTCGTCACAACACGCCAAAGCACGCATGAAATGCAAGATTCAAGATTATAAACTGTGTAACACTCTGGAAACACGCAAACTTTGACTAAATCACAGATCATGATGAGGAGCCTCTTCTGTTTCTATGATTTTAAATCTGACTTCTGTGTGTGTTATTTTGATCTGTATGTTTTTAAAATGTGAAGTGCTTTGTGATCCTGGTCTGTGAAAGGCTCTATATAAATACACTTTATGCGACAGGGATGTGTGACCCAGCTATTGCTGTGACAGGCTCTGCGCTGCGTAATTACGCACGGCTATTTGTATTCCTCACATCTGGTAAAGCAATGTATGTTTTCATTAGATTTGTGTAACCCTCACACAGACACACATCCCATTAACGCATGGGCCGATGGACTATGGTATTGCTCACTCCAAATGTCTCACTGCACTGTCCACCCGCTGCACACTCTTGGGAGTGCGTCCACAGCAGGTGCCATGAGAGACACGCCACATAACTCCTCAAATGCTGTCATTCAGAAGTTTCTCCAGAGTTTATCTGTAAAATCTGGACCGCAAACGCTCTCGCAAGTGTACAGCGCTTCAGTGCATTCATAAGACGCTGCAGACGCTTCTTTGATGAGAGCCACCGCTGCACAATATGAATTCATTCATTCATTCTTTATTTATTCACTTCTATCAAAACATTTCTGCAAATTTGTTCAAAACGCAGCTGAATAAATTGCGTATTGTATATTTATTTTTACATAAGCAAGAACAACCTGTGGCAGACCCTGCGCAGTACACGTAATCACGCATATGTTTGGCCTCATTCACCTCTGGCAAAGCAATGTGGGTTTTCCTTAGTTTTGTGCATAAAGCCCCATAATGCACCTGATCTTGCTCAAAACTGTCTCAGGCACTGCCCTTTACTCCGCAGCAGAGAGAGGCTACAACGCTCATGTGGGAACTGGTTCATTCATTCATTCATTATTTATTTATTCATTTACTTCTACATTTCAGGAGAGATGAGTGCTGCAGTGGGTCTAGACACTAGGGGAAAAAGTGTATATCTAATAGAGCGTATATATGTATATTTTTTAAACGTGAATAATCTCAGAAGTGTGTGTTTTTTGAGGCTTCCAAACAGTCTTCTTAGCCGACTTCCTGCTGACCTGTCACAAAAACAGGGCGTGGAACAGGCAGTTTCTAAATATTTCTAGGCGTGACTTTCATAAATACGCTGGTTTTGAGCGCTGCATTTATCAACAGCCGCAGGTGCGTACGCTCAGATCTGTGCCTCACACGTTCATAAATGCCACGTCAGATCTCGCGTAAATGGAATATACACCCAAAATATACACCTTTTTCTACGCAACTTTCATACATGAGGCCCAATATGCTATTTTTTAAAGAGGGACCAGTATTTAAGTAAGTGAATATATATTATATGACTTTGTATTGACTTTATGTTGAGTGACTATTCAAGTCATCTGACTTTAAGTTGTCATTGTCAAATTTAGTTAAAAAAATCTGATTTGAGCACACGTTTGTACCCTGCTGCTGGTGGCTGTGCTGAATCTCACACAGAGTTGCGAGGCCTGGTGTCACATGACTGCTCTCATGACCGCTGCTTTACACAGAGCTGTAGGGCCATCATTTACTGACAATTGTTTTTACATTTACAACTTTACCACCTTTTTTTGGCTATATTCTAGTGTCCTGGGAAAACCTGCCTGGGACATGACTACCTTATGTGTATGTAGAACTCACCTATCACTGACACCTGGTACAGCGGCTTGTTGCTCTGGCTCGCCTGAAGAGCCGGGACATAGTCGCCCAGTCCAATTGTGAACAGGGAGATGAAGCAGAAGTAAACCCCATCCAAGAAGGACCACGAGCCCTCCAACCCACTGAAGAGAGCAGCCGGGCCCATAAAGAAGCAGAGCACCAGCAGCAGCAGAAGCAGCAGCAGGTGTAGGGCACAGGCCATTCTGGGCTCAAGGCCCCAGCGATGGAGCAACTCCACCGGGGCCAACACCAAAGGCACAAAGAGCTTCTGCACACAGGCCGTAAGCACCAGCATGGTGAAGGGCACTCCCAGGAGAGCGTACACGATGGAGAAGGCCTTTCCCAGGTCTGTGAGAGGAGTGCTCTGCCCATACCCTGTAGACACATGGAAAAAGACTGAGCAGGCTCGCCAAAGCAGAACCAGTCTGAAAACACATCTGGACATGGCTTGAGATAGTGACCAATTTTGCCAGACATTCTGATATACATTTACTCCTGGTAAATATAAAATAAATGTTTCAAAAATACTGTTTTGAATGATGTGTCCGTGAAAATGTGCAGCACTCAATGAAAAATAGGACAGACACACACATGCACACACAGAGGGAGAGTGAACACAATCAGTTAAAGCAGAGAATCCTCTTCACATGATCATACAGAAGAAAACAAGTCCCAGGAACAGACCACAGCACAATTTAGTCTATTCTTTTTATGGGATACACATAAATACACATTGTCCCATTCAGATGAATGATACAATGTGGCGCTCAATGATACGCCACAAAATATATCCCCTAATTATAATTAAAATATAGTGAACAAATTACAGCTTTGATTGGTAGCATTTCCAAGGCAAATATTTACAGTTTGTTTAGATTGAAACAGAATTGCAGACCCTTCAGGATTCAGTTTTACTCATTGCCGTTTGGATTTAAATTTTTATAATAATGTGCTTGTTTTCCTGGGAGAATAAGCTTTAAAATGGCAGCTTTCACTTTCGTTTAAATATGGCCATATTCAGAAGAATCAAATATGAAACATTTAACCCACATCCTCTGAGAGATTAAAATAATAATGTACGCTGAATTAAAAATGCATAATAAAGCTAGAATTGGACATAAACATTTGTATGTGTCCCATGTCATTACAACAGGGGCCTTTTTCACAGAGGTCATCGTGGGGGGGGAATATTTAATCATCACACTTTGATCACACATTTAGGAAATTATCAAAGCCAAAATGCTAATTATACTCCACTCAGGCAGAGATGCTAAATATACATACACTTCATAATGCAACCTCAACAAAACAGGAATCATATTTCCACAGAGAAAACAATATTAGCATTTTGCTCCTGCTCTGGATGCTCAGATCTCAGAACAAAGTCAGACAACAGGAAAAGAACAGCTCTGTGCAGCGTCCTGCAAGTGTAAGAATTATATTCAAACTGTACAAAATTGTATCTCCATCCACACCATTATCCATCACCTAAGATTAAGACGTCAGTGTTGTATCATCAGTTACAGGACAGAAAGAACGAGGAGCGCGCAACACACACAAGATACGAACACAAGGAACAATAACTCCATGCAAAAAACAATCTATAATTATAGAAGCAGGTATAAGCTTTACAAACACATTTCCCCACAACTTCTCTCGAAATGCTCTTATCAAACCTCTTACACAGTGACATCTGCTGTAGTGGGAACAGTCCATGCACAGAGTTACCTCTGTGGGACGAAAGGTTCTGGAGGATGGTCTGATGGAAATGACCGACTGTTGGGTTTCAACAATTCCCCTTTCAAAATATTTACCTGAAAATATGATTTGGTGTCTTGAAATAAAGCACAGAGTCGAGTTGGAAAAGGGGAAGGTATTGAAGATTAACTAGATCCATGGACCTTTTATTTTAGTTGTATTCTGATTGCACAACAGTGTGGCAGCTGTGTTTAATGCGTTTATAATCGATAATCATAATTATCATGGGATACATTTTTCACAATATAATGCAAATGAGCATCAGATATTCCTTCAACTCCATTTTGTTCAGAATTAAGACAAAGACAAGACAAAACAGCTTCAGTGTCTTCATATTCAAACTGCTCTTGTACCATTAAAATGGAATATAAACAGTTGACAGTTTTTGAGCAAATTGTCCCATGGAAATAAATAGTGGGTTCCTTAATTGTCCTCGTCATTGCACACTTGAACTCTTGCCATTGGTCAAATATCTATATTATGCACCTATGGATATTTTATGACACTTTTGAGACTTACAAAATGAATAGTCAAGTAAAGTACGAGAGACTTAAGATTTTTGGGTCATATAGGCTCAATCAGAGGTGCGCTTGCAGGTGTGGTGACCTTACCCACGGTGGTGACCAGAGTGTTGGCGTAGAACATCGCGGAGGTCAGGTCCCAGTTGGACGGCTGGTGGACAGTCTGCAGCACGGACACCCCGGAGCGGTGCGCCTGCAAGACGCGCGTCAGGAAGCTCTCCAACGCCTGCTCTGTGGCGCAGCTGTGATTCATGAACTGCTCCCGGAGCTGCTGCAGCTCCGCACGGACGCGCTCCTCCTCCGGCCGCTCGATGCTGGACAGGACCAGAGCCCCGAACAACAGGTAGATTATGTAGAAGAGCAGGAAGCCGCTGAGTAGCACCCACGAGCGGCCCACGGAGTGCATGGTGCAGCGCAGGACGCACGCAGTGGAAGAGCAGTGGAAGAGCGGGGGAAAGTGACCTGCTGCAGCTGAGGGAGGACCTGCACACGGCTGTGGGGGCTGGGCTGTGGGGGCTGGCCTCTGGGGGCTGGCCTCTGCACCAGGACCTCCTGGGCACTTCCACCCTCCGCCCCTCATTTGCGCGTTCCCGATGATGGGTGCGAGTGCGTAGGGTACAGTCCCAATTCTCCAGGGAGGCCTTTGGCCTTAGATTAGTTTCTAATCTAAAGCGTGGACCATATGTGTTAATACAGGAAAAAACACAACCACGATCTAAGATTTTTTTTATTTATTCAAACAGCAACAATTACAGTTTTAAACATGACATTCTCTTTAGCTGTCTAACTGTCTTAACTATCACTGTGATCATCACACTCATGCTCAGACCTACTTTTATCATGAAAATGTCAATGATGTGCTTTAATGTAACAACCAAAATGAACAAGATTGCTCAAAATAGTAAATCAACTGAAATACAACTCTAAACCTTTTTTAAACGAGGGAGATACGCTTTAATATGCACTGAAACTATAATTTCCTTCCTTACAGATATTACTGGTCAAGTATTAGTAGTCCAATAGTCCAATAGTTAGTAGTCCAAATATCCAATAGTAGTAAATGTGGCCCAGTAAAATGATCACATTTGTGAAAGTATATATTTGTATTTCAAATGTAGTGTAGTAATAATAAAGTCATAAGTTCTCCTCAAAAAAACTACTAAAGTACAGTACAGATCCTCAAAAACTCTGCTAAAGTATAGTCCTTGTGTAAATTTACTTCATTGCAAATCACCACTGCTGACTGATACATTATTGAGATGTCATAAAGAATCCTTCAAAGAGACCATTGTGATGCTTTACAGCAGCTGCTCATTCTACTCCATGATGCACAGGTGCTCAGTGAGCAACTCTTCTGTCTGATGTCCTCGGAGCCTCCAAACCTGCTCCTGAAGTGTTCGCCATGCTCTCTCTCTCTGCTGGGTACGGGGATCCACACACACTGACTGTGGTCACAGTGCAACTGTGGTACCCAAGCTCTGGAAGCACACGGTAAGCTCTCCATTCATCACTTATTACTGAGGCACCCATGGTTTTACACGGTGGACTATAAGGGGAACCAGAACGGGCTTTGGTCTCCTCCCCTCTTGCTCCAAACACCCATCTGTTGCTTTTCCATGCTCCTGAAACTTTTCCTCTTCCATACTGTAGAGAAAGAATTAATAAATAGATTTTAGACACACACAAAGGCGTGGCAAAATGGTATCGCAGCTGCTCACACAGGATTTCTAGGTTGCAAAATGTAATACTTGTTAAACATTTTTATACAACAAAGGCATTCCAATGTAGATACTTAAAAGTTATTATGACTGAACTTTACATTGATATTCAAGGAAATTACTTAAAAATTCAACCGCTGCCTTGTTTCTGGTTTAGTTATAGTAAAGTATACAGTATATATATACTATACTTTATACTAATTATATATATATATATATATATATATATATACTATACTTTATAATTATTATATATATATATATATATATATATATATATATATATATATATATACAGTGCCTTGCGAAAGTATTCGGCCCCCCTGAACCTTTCAACATTTTGCCACATTTCAGGCTTCAAACATAAAGATATAAAATTTTAATTTTTTGTCATGAATCAACGACAAGTGGGACACAATCGTGAAGTGGAACGAAATTTATTGGATAATTTAAACTTTTTTAACAAATAAAAAACTGAAAAGTGGGGCGTGCAATATTATTGGGCCCCTTTACTTTCAGTGCAGCAAACTCAGTCCAGAAGTTCAGTGAGGATCTTTGAATGATCCAATGTTGTCCTAAATGACTGATGATGATAAATAGAATGCACCTGTGTGTAATCAAGTCTCCGTATAAATGCACCTGCTCTTTGATAGTCTCAGGGTTCTGTTTAAAGCACAGAGAGAACCATGAAGACAAAGGAACACACCAGGCAGGTCCGAGATACTGTTGTGGAGAAGTTTAAAGCCGGATTTGGATACAAAAAGATTTCCCAAGCTTTAAACATCTCAAGGAGCACTGTGCAAGCAATTATATTGAAATGGAAGGAGTATCAGACCACTGCAAATCTACCAAGACCCGGCCGTCCCTCCAAACTTTCATCTCAAACAAGGAGAAGATTGATCAGAGATGCACCCAAGAGGCCCATGATCACTCTGGAGGGAACTGCAGATAACTACAGCTGAGGTGGGAGAGTCTGTCCATAGGACAACAATCAGTCGTGCACTGCACAAATCTGGCCTTTATGGAAGAGTGGCAAGAAGAAAGCCATTTCTCAAAGATATCCATAAAAAGTCTGGTTTAAAGTTTGCCACAAGCCACCTGGGAGACACACCAAACATGTGGAAGAAGGTGCTCTGGTCAGATGAAACCAAAATGGAACTTTTTGGCCACAATGCAAAACGATATGTTTGGCGTAAAAGCAACACAGCTCATCACCCTGAACACACCATCCCCACCTGAGCTGTAGTTATCTGCAGTTCATCCAGAGTGATCATGGGCCTCTTGGCAGCATCTGCCACTCCAACACAAACCTGAGAGAAGAAGCACCTTTCCCAAGACCACAACCAGATGTGCACTACAACAACTATGAACATTTGCCAATTCACACTGGCCACAGGGGGAGGTGGAAATGTGGAAAAGGCATTGTTTTCCTGTGTTTGATGAAAGACGGAATTCTTTGCTGAACACATAAAGTGGTCCAGGATACTTTTGTTTTTGGGCTTGTTTTGTAAATTGGGACAAAGTTATTTTATGTCATACATTTTTACTTGAATTCCTTTTTAGACCAAATACATTAAAACAGCACAGTTGGTATTAAGCATATCCCCCTGGGTGCAGAGGGACCAGGAGCTGGAGAGAGGAGGAGGAGCGGACGGAGCGGCAGGTGTGGAGCTCTGAAAGAGCTCAGAGAGATATAGAAGGGCGAGGTTGTGAATAGCTTTGAAGGTGAGAAGCAGGGTTTTGTACTGAATGTGGTGAGTGAGGGGGAGCCAGGAGTTGTTGTAGAAATAGAGAGATACTTTATTGATCCCCGTCGGAGAAATTCAGGTGTCCAGAAGCAGCAAAAATAAAAATAAAATTGATCATTCTATAAAGCTAACGATAGTAATAATCAGCAACAGCCCAGCCTCTGGGTGGAGCAGGACAGGTCACAGCAGCAGAAGTGGAGCAGGACAGGTCACAGCAGCCGAGGTGGAGTAGCCTCTGGGTGGAGCAGGACAGGTCACAGCAGCAGAAGTGGAGCAGGACGGGTCACAGCAGCCGAGGTGGAGTAGCCTCTGGGTGGAGCAGGACGGGTCACAGCAGCCGAGGTGGAGTAGCCTCTGGGTGGAGCAGGACAGGTCACAGCAGCAGAGGTGGAGTAGCCTCTGGGTGGAGCAGGACGGGTCACAGCAGCAGAGGTGGTGTAGCCTCTGGGTGGAGCAGGACGGGTCACAGCAGCAGAGGTGGAGTAGCCTCTGGGTGGAGCAGGACGGGTCACAGCAGCAGAGGTGGAGTAGCCTCTGGGTGGAGCAGGACGGGTCACAGCAGCAGAGGTGGAGTAGCCTCTGGGTGGAGCAGGACGGGTCACAGCAGCAGAGGTGGAGTAGCCTCTGGGTGGAGCAGGACGGGTCACAGCAGCAGAGGTGGAGTAGCCTCTGGGTGGAGCAGGACAGGTCACAGCAGCAGAGGTGGAGTAGCCTCTGGGTGGAGCAGGACAGGTCAAAAGGTGGAGTAGTCCAAAAGGCTTCATTAGCATTTTTCAACAAAGTTAGCATTCCTCCATTGGATTTTCATTTGTAAATCAACCTGTAGGACAGGAGTGCTGTGGTTGAGGCGTGCTGCACAGTTTTGGACCAGTTGGAGTTTGTGTCGAGTTTTATGAGGGAGACCAAACAGAAGGGAATTGCAGTAATCCAGACGGGAAGTGACGAGACTGTGAACCAGGACTGCGGAGTGAGGGAGGCGGCGGATGTTGCGGAGGTGAAAGAAAGCAGAGGAAGTGGAGCTGTTAATGTGGGATCAGAAGAAGAGTACTATCTAGGACGACACGCAGACTCTTGACCATGTAAAGAGGGAGATATGGAGGAGCTGTTGATGGAAGTCAGGAAGTCAACAGGTGGATCACTGACTTCCTGACGGACAGGAAGCAGCGAGTGCGTCTGGGGAAGAATGTCTCGGACTCTCGGATTATAAATACAGGAGCCCCACAGGGCTGTGTTCTTTCTCCCCTGCTCTTCTCCCTGTACACCAACCACTGCACCTCCAGCCACGACTCCGTGAAGCTGATCAAGTTCACGGACGACACCACCCTCATTGGACTCATCTCCAACAACGATGAGTCCGCCTACAGGAGGGAGGTGGACCGGCTGGTGTCCTGGTGTCTCCTACAGGAGGGAGGTGGACCGGCTGGTGTCCTGGTGTCTCCTACAGGAGGGAGGTGGACCGGCTGGTGTCCTGGTGTCTCCTACAGGAGGGAGGTGGACCGGCTGGTGTCCTGGTGTCTCCTACAGGAGGGAGGTGGACCGGCTGGTGTCCTGGTGTCTCCTACAGGAGGGAGGTGGACCGGCTGGTGTCCTGGTGTCTCCTACAGGAGGGAGGTGGACCGGCTGGTGTCCTGGTGTCTCCTACAGGAGGGAGGTGGACCGGCTGGTGTCCTGGTGTCTCCTACAGGAGGGAGGTGGACCGGCTGGTGTCCTGGTGTCTCCTACAGGAGGGAGGTGGACCGGCTGGTGTCCTGGTGTCTCCTACAGGAGGGAGGTGGACCGGCTGGTGTCCTGGTGTCTCCTACAGGAGGGAGGTGGACCGGCTGGTGTCCTGGTGTCTCCTACAGGAGGGAGGTGGACCGGCTGGTGTCCTGGTGTCTCCTACAGGAGGGAGGTGGACCGGCTGGTGTCCTGGTGTCTCCTACAGGAGGGAGGTGGACCGGCTGGTGTCCTGGTGTCTCCTACAGGAGGGAGGTGGACCGGCTGGTGTCCTGGTGTCTCCTACAGGAGGGAGGTGGACCGGCTGGTGTCCTGGTGTCTCCTACAGGAGGGAGGTGGACCGGCTGGTGTCCTGGTGTCTCCTACAGGAGGGAGGTGGACCGGCTGGTGTCCTGGTGCAGTGGTAACAACCTGGAGCTGAACGCCCAGAAGACAGTGGAGATGATTGTGGACTTCAGGAAGAGCACTGTCCCCCCGCCCCCACCCTCCGTGATGGACTCCCCCATCACCTCTGTGGAGTCCTTCCGTTTCCTGGGCACCACCATCACCAGGACCTCAAGTGGGAGCCGACCATCAGCTCCCTCATCAAGAAGGCCCAGCAGAGGATGTACTTCCTGCGGCAGCTCAGGAAAGCCAAGCTGCAGTTCTACACGGCCATCATCGAGTCCATCCTCACCTCCTCCATCACCTCCTCCATCACCTCCTCCATCACCTCCTCATAAGATAAGATAAGATTGCTTTATTTATCTCACAGAGGAGAAATTTACATGTCACATTTGGCATGGATAGAGACACTCAGATTGTGCAAAGGGAGTAAATGTGCAAACATGTTACATGCAGGATATATGTACAATAAAGTGACAATAATTATGTGCAACAAAAGTGACAAGTGTCAATTGGAAACAGTGTCAATAGTAGTGCAGGTTTTCACACAGTGATCATTTAAAGTGACTTATTGTACAGTCTGACAGCAGTGGGGATAAAGGCCCTGCGGTAGCGCTCCTTCCTACACTGAGGGTGTTTCAGTCTTCCACTGAAGGAGCTCCTCAGCTCCTCTACAGTCCTGTGCAGTGGGAGGTATTGTTCATGATGGAGGTGACTTTGGCTAGCACCCTCCTGTCCCTCACCTCCTCCACAGAGTCCAGGGGCCTCCTGTCCCTCACCTCCTCCACAGAGTCCAGGGGCCTCCTGTCCCTCACCTCCTCCACAGAGTCCAGGGGCCTCCTGTCCCTCACCTCCTCCACAGAGTCCAGGGGCCTCCTGTCCCTCACCTCCTCCACAGAGTCCAGGGGCCTCCTATCCCTCACCTCCTCCACAGAGTCCAGGGGCCTCCTGTCCCTCACCTCCTCCACAGAGTCCAGGGAGCAGCCCAGAGTGGAGCTGGCCCTCCTGACCAGCTTGTTCAGTCTACTCCTGTCCCGCTCTGTGCTGCCCGGGGTCCAGTGTATGGCAGAGGCTACCACAGAGTCATAAAAAGTCCTGAGCAGAGGCCTGCTCACTCCGAAGGACCTCAGCCTCCTCAGAAGGACCTCAGCCTCCTCAGAAGGACCTCAGCCTCCTCAGAAGGACCTCAGCCTCCTCAGAAGGAAGAGGCGACTTTGGCCCTTCTTGTGCAGGGCGTTTGTATTATGGACCAGTCCAGTTTATTGTTAATGTGAACACCCAGGTACTTGAAGCTGTCCACCAGCTCAATGTCCTCCCCCTGGATGTTCAGCAGCGTGTGGGAAAGTGGTTTTCTCCTGAAGTCGATGACCATCTCCTTGGTCTTACTGGTGTTCAAGCACAAGTGGTTGCGCTCACACCAGTCGACAAAGTCCTTGATAATCGACCGATATTCCAGTTCGTTCCCCTCAGACACACAGCCCACGATGGCGGAGTCGTCGGAGAACTTCTGCAGGTGACAGCTGTGTGTGTCGTGTGTGAAGTCTGAGGTGTAGATGGTGAAGAGAAACGGTGAGAGGACAGTGCCCTGAGGGGCCCCAGTGCTGCAGACGACCACCTCAGACTCACAGCTGCGCAGCCGCACGTACTGTGGTCGCTCTGAGAGGTAGTTGATGGTCCATGCAGTGAGGTAGTTGATGGTCCATGCAGTGAGGTAGTTGATGGTCCATGCAGTGAGGTAGTTGATGGTCCATGCAGTGAGGTAGTTGATGGTCCATGCAGTGAGGTAGTTGATGGTCCATGCAGTGAGGCTACTGTCCACTCCCGCGTCCTCCATCTTCCCCCGCAGCAGTGCCGGCCTGATGGTATTGAAAGCGCTGGAGAAGTCGAAAAACATGACCCTCACAGCGCTCCCGGCGGGCTCCAGGTGGGAGAGCGTCCGCTGCAGGAAGTAGATGACGGCGTCCTCTACTCCGATGTTGGGTCTGTAGGCGAACTGCAGCGGGTCCAGGGTGGGGCTGACCACGGAGCGGAGATGGGTGAGGATGAGCCGCTCCATGGTCTTCATCAGGTGGGAGGTCAGTGCTCCATGGTCTTCATCAGGAGGTCAGTGCTCCATGGTCTTCATCAGGTGGGAGGTCAGTGCTCCATTGTCTTCATCAGGTGGGAGGTCAGTGCGACTGGTCTGTAGTGAGCCGGTTCCTTGGCGTGTGCTGTTTTTGGGACCGGGATCACACAGGAGGTCTTCCACAGGACAGGGACCTTCTCCAGGCTGAGGCTCAGGTTGTACATGTAGCTGAGGACCCCAGAGAGCTGGTCTGCACAGGTCCTCAGCAGCCTGGGACTGATCCCGTCCGGTCCTGCGGAGTTCCTCAGCTTCAGGCGCTGGAGCTGACTCCTCACCTGGTCCGGTGTGATGGAGAGGGGGGGGGGACTGGGATGTACTGTCCGAGGTGGGGGCTGGGGATGCGGGGGCAGGAGGGCCCGGGGCAGCCGGAGGCAGTGTCCACTGGGCGGTGTCCACTGGGCTGGGGACGTGTGAAGAGGTGGGGGCGGGAGGGGGGCAGATGGAGAGGGGGGAGAATCAAACCGGTTGAAGTGCTGGTTAAATTCATCCGCCCGGTGCTGGTCTCCATCTGCTGTTCCTCTGGTACTCTGTCCAAAGCCGGAGATGTTCTTTAGGCCTCTCCACACGTCGCGGGCGTTTCCCTGGGCCAGCTTCTGCTCCAGATTTTTCCCATAGTCCTTCTTGGCCCTCCTGATCCTCCACTGGAGCTCGTGCTGGATCCTCTTCTGCTCCTCCCTGTCCCCTGAGATGAAAGCCCTTTTCTTGAGGTTCAGGAGGGCTTTAAGCTCAGGGGTCACCCATGGGTGGTTGTTAGAAAAACACCGCACCTTCTTAGTTGGTACAGTGTTATCCACACAGAAGAGAATATAGTCAGTAATGCAGTGTGTCAGGCTCTCCATGTCCTCACCATGAGAGCAAACATCATTTCCCAATCAGTGTTTTGAAAACAATCTCTCAGCATCTCATCCACATCATCGCTCCACACTTTTACAATCCTCTTCTGCGCTGGATTTCTTCTCACCACTGGTGTGTATTCCGGAGACAGACGGACCAGGCTGTGATCAGAGCGTCCGAGAGGGGGGAGGGGGGAGGAGGCGTATGCGTCCCGGACATTAACATACAGTAGGTCCAGAGTCTTATTGCCACGAGTTGGGCACGTGACATACTGTTTGAATGTCGGGAGAGTGGCGGAGAGGGAGGCGTGGTTAAAGTCTCCGCTGATCAGAATCAGAGCGGGGGGACTGCGGGTCTGGATCTGGGTCACAGTTCTGTGCATCTCCTCACATGCTGCAGCTGCGTCTGCTGACGGGGGGATGTAAACACATAGAACCACGGTGTGTGAAAACTCCCGCGGCAGATACCTGGGTCTCATGCTCACAGCGAGCAGCTCCAGGTCCTGGGTGCATGTACGCTGAACCACATGCACGTGCGTCGGGATGCACCACTGCTCGTTCACGTAGACCGCGACACCCCCGCCTTTGCTCTTCCCACTCCCCTCCGCGCAGCGGTCCGCTCGCACAAGTTTAAATCCCTCCAGCGCGACCACAGAGTCCGGTATATTCCCACACAGCCACGTCTCAGAGAAACACATAAGTCCACATTGTCTGTACTCTTTATGATGGCGGACCAGTGCGGTCAGCTCCTCAGTCTTATTAGAGATGGACCGTACGTTCCCCATGAGGATGGAGGGGAGATACGGTCTCTTCTTCCTCTTTCGGCCTCCTCTGGAGCCCCTGCGTCTCCTACGGATCTCCAAGGGGATCACCGGCTTCTCTGAGTGCCGGAAAGCGGAGTCTCTAAGTCCGAGAAGCTGCTCCCGTGTGTAAACAATGGGACACGCTGGTCTCGTGGCTCTGTGAGCGGAGGACTCAGAAAAAAGTGCCGAAGTCATGTTAATCCAGTGAGAAAGTCCACGAGGCTAGGCTTCCCGTGTGCACAATGAACAAATAAACGCTTGTCTACGAAAATAAAAAATAAAAAAAACACATCTACAAGAAATAAATAGAGAAAGGGTCGGAAAGAGAAGAGAGCCAAAGTGACGAGCTGCACAGCGGGAGCTGGCGCCGGAAGTGGGTTCATCACCTCCTCCATCACCTCCTCCATCACCTCCTCCATTACCTCCTCCTTCACCTCCTCCATCACCTCCTCCATCACCTCCTCCATCACCTCCTCCTTCACCTCCTCCATCACCTCCTCCATCACCTCCTCCTTCACCTCCTCCATCACCTCCTCCATCACCTCATCACCTCCTCCATCACCTCCTCCATCACCTCCTCCTTCACCTCCTCCATCACCTCCTCCATCACCTCCTCCATCACCTCCTCCATCACCTCCTCCATCACCTCCTCCATCACCTCCTCCATCACCTCCTCCGTCACCGTGTGGTTCGCTGGAGCCACAGTCAGGGACAAACAGAGACTACAGTGCATTGTGCGCTCTGCAGAGGAAGTGATCGGCCGCAGCCTTCCATCGCTGCAGGACCTGTACGTCGCATATTGTGTGCACCATGTGCACTTGTATATTGCATATAGTAATTGTATTAATTTAATTTAAATTTTTATTATGCCTTATTCTATTCTTTACCTCTCTTCTTTGACTGTTGCACTGAGCCAAAGCAATGTCCTTGTCTGTGACTTCCTGTTACTTACATGGCAATAAAATGATTCTGATTCTGAAATTCTTGAGTTCTGTTAATGCTTTTGAGTTTGAAAAAAATTGTGGTGAATCAGAACACACATTTTACATTGTTCTTTTCTTGGAGGGAACATTAAAGGTTCTTATCCAGCTGATCTAAGCCCATGGAACCACGTGGACTTCTGTTTAGGCCTGCAGCTGTAGACACAAGAAGCATGTTTGTCCATTCATTCATTATTGCTCTGGCAAAAGGCTCAAACTTGCTCGTATGAATGAAGATTCTCCACAATTAGGCATCAAACTACTGCATTGGGAATTTTCAACAGGGATGTCAGACCATAAAATCTATAAAAGAAACATGCAAAATTAGCTATACAAGCTAACTGTGCTGTGGTGAGCTAATAAAGATTAAGAGATCATTTATTTGCCGAACAGTGAGGATATTCCAGTGTTGCATTTTTAAGTTACATAACAGAGGATAAAATATTGTATACTCTAGAGCAAGAAATATATACTATATATATATGCTTATGGATTACTGAGACTGTAGACTGAGACTGTAGGCTGTAGACTGAGACTGTAGGCTGAGACTGTAGACTGAGACTGTAGGCTGTAGACTGAGACTGTAGGCTGTAGACTGTAGGCTGTAGACTGTAGGCTGTAGACTGTAGGCTGTAGACTGTAGACTGAGACTGTAGGCTGTAGGCTGTAGGCTGTAGACTGAGACTGTAGGCTGTAGACTGTAGGCTGTAGACTGTAGACTGTAGGCTGTAGACTATAGACTGAGACTGTAGGCTGTAGGCTGTAGACTGAGACTGTAGGCTGTAGACTGTAGGCTGTAGACTGTAGACTGTAGGCTGTAGACTATAGACTGAGACTGTAGGCTGTAGACTGTAGACTGAGACTGTAGACTGAGACTGTAGGCTGTAGACTGAGACTGTAGACTGTAGACTGAGACTGTAGGCTGTAGACTGTAGGCTGTAGACTGTAGGCTGTAGACTGTAGACTGAGACTGTAGGCTGTAGACTGAGACTGTAGACTGTAGACTGAGACTGTAGACTGAGACTGAGACTGTAGACTGAGACTGTAGACTGTAGACTGAGACTGTAGGCTGTAGACTGTAGGCTGTAGACTGTAGGCTGTAGACTGAGACTGTAGGCTGTAGACTGAGACTGTAGACTGTAGACTGAGACTGTAGGCTGTAGACTGTAGGCTGTAGACTGTAGACTGAGACTGTAGACTGAGACTGTAGGCTGTAGACTGAGACTGTAGACTGTAGACTGAGACTGTAGACTGAGACTGTAGACTGTAGACTGAGACTGTAGACTGTAGGCTGTAGACTGAGACTGTAGACTGAGACTGAGACTGTAGACTGAGACTGTAGACTGAGACTGAGACTGTAGACTGAGACTGTAGACTGAGACTGTAGACTGTAGACTGAGACTGTAGGCTGTAGACTGTAGGCTGTAGACTGAGACTGTAGACTGTAGACTGAGACTGTAGGCTGTACTGAGACTGTAGGCTGAGACTGTAGACTGAGACTGTAGGCTGTAGACTGAGACTGTAGGCTGTAGACTGTAGGCTGTAGACTGTAGGCTGTAGACTGAGACTGTAGGCTGTAGACTGAGACTGTAGGCTGAGACTGTAGACTGAGACTGTAGGCTGTAGGCTGTAGGCTGTAGACTGAGACTGTAGGCTGTAGACTGTAGGCTGTAGACTGTAGGCTGTAGACTGAGACTGTAGACTGAGACTGTAGGCTGTAGACTGTAGGCTGTAGACTATAGACTGAGACTGTAGGCTGTAGACTGTAGACTGAGACTGTAGACTGAGACTGTAGACTGAGACTGTAGGCTGTAGACTGAGACTGTAGACTGTAGACTGAGACTGTAGGCTGTAGACTGAGACTGTAGGCTGTAGACTGAGACTGTAGGCTGTAGACTGAGACTGTAGACTGTAGACTGAGACTGTAGGCTGTAGACTGAGACTGTAGACTGTAGACTGAGACTGTAGACTGAGACTGAGACTGTAGACTGAGACTGTAGACTGTAGACTGAGACTGTAGGCTGTAGACTGTAGGCTGTAGACTGAGACTGTAGGCTGTAGACTGAGACTGTAGACTGTAGACTGAGACTGTAGGCTGTAGACTGTAGGCTGTAGACTGTAGACTGAGACTGTAGACTGAGACTGTAGGCTGTAGACTGAGACTGTAGACTGTAGACTGAGACTGTAGACTGAGACTGTAGACTGTAGACTGAGACTGTAGACTGTAGGCTGTAGACTGAGACTGTAGACTGAGACTGAGACTGTAGACTGAGACTGTAGACTGAGACTGAGACTGTAGACTGAGACTGTAGACTGAGACTGTAGACTGTAGACTGAGACTGTAGGCTGTAGACTGTAGGCTGTAGACTGAGACTGTAGACTGTAGACTGAGACTGTAGGCTGTAGACTGAGACTGTAGACTGTAGACTGAGACTGTAGGCTGTAGACTGAGACTGTAGACTGAGACTGTAGACTGAGACTGAGACTGTAGACTGAGACTGTAGACTGTAGACTGAGACTGTAGGCTGTAGACTGTAGGCTGTAGACTGAGACTGTAGGCTGTAGACTGAGACTGTAGACTGTAGACTGAGACTGTAGGCTGTAGACTGTAGGCTGTAGACTGTAGACTGAGACTGTAGACTGAGACTGTAGGCTGTAGACTGAGACTGTAGACTGTAGACTGAGACTGTAGACTGAGACTGTAGACTGTAGACTGAGACTGTAGACTGTAGGCTGTAGACTGAGACTGTAGACTGAGACTGTAGACTGAGACTGTAGGCTGAGACTGTAGACTGAGACTGTAGGCTGAGACTGTAGACTGAGACTGTAGGCTGTAGGCTGTAGACTGAAACTGTAGGCTGAGACTGTAGACTGAGACTGTAGGCTGAGACTGTAGACTGAGACTGTAGACTGTAGACTGTAGGCTGAGACTGTAGACAGACTGTAGGCTGAGACTGTAGACTGAGACTGTAGGCTGAGACTGTAGACTGAGACTGTAGGCTGAGACTGTAGACTGAGACTGTAGACTGTAGACTGTAGGCTGAGACTGTAGGCTGTAGGCTGAGACTGTAGACTGTAGACTGAGACTGTAGACTGAGACTGTAGGCTGTAGGCTGTAGACTGAGACTGTAGACTGAGACTGTAGGCTGAGACTGTAGACTGAGACTGTAGACTGAGACTGTAGGCTGAGACTGTAGGCTGTAGGCTGTAGACTGAGACTGTAGGCTGAGACTGTAGACTGAGACTGTAGGCTGAGACTGTAGACTGAGACTGTAGGCTGAGACTGTAGACTGAGACTGTAGACTGTAGACTGTAGGCTGAGACTGTAGGCTGTAGGCTGAGACTGTAGACTGTAGACTGAGACTGTAGACTGAGACTGTAGGCTGTAGGCTGTAGACTGAGACTGTAGACTGAGACTGTAGGCTGAGACTGTAGACTGAGACTGTAGACTGAGACTGTAGGCTGAGACTGTAGACTGTAGACTGTAGGCTGAGACTGTAGACTGAGACTGTAGGCTGAGACTGTAGACTGTAGACTGAGACTGTAGACTGAGACTGTAGGCTGTAGACTGAGACTGTAGACTGTAGACTGTAGGCTGTAGACTGAGACTGTAGGCTGTAGACTGAGACTGTAGACTGTAGACTGAGACTGTAGGCTGTAGACTGTAGGCTGTAGACTGTAGACTGAGACTGTAGACTGAGACTGTAGGCTGTAGACTGAGACTGTAGACTGTAGACTGAGACTGTAGACTGAGACTGTAGACTGTAGACTGTAGGCTGAGACTGTAGATTGTAGGCTGTAGACTGAGACTGTAGACTGTAGACTGTAGGCTGAGACTGTAGACTGTAGACTGTAGACTGAGACTGTAGGCTGTAGACTGTAGACTGTAGACTGTAGACTGTAGGCTGAGACTGTAGACTGAGACTGTAGACTGTAGGCTGAGACTGTAGACTGAGACTGTAGACTGTAGACTGTAGGCTGTAGACTGTAGACTGTAGACTGTAGACTGTAGGCTGAGACTGTAGACTGAGACTGTAGACTGTAGGCTGAGACTGTAGACTGAGACTGTAGACTGTAGACTGTAGGCTGAGACTGTAGACTGAGACTGTAGACTGAGACTGTAGACTGAGACTGTAGGCTGTAGACTGAGACTGTAGACTGTAGTCTACAGCCTACAGTCTACAGTCTACAGTCTAGACTGTAGACTGTAGACTGTAGACTTAGGCTGTAGACTGTAGACTGTAGACTGTAGGCTGAGACTGTAGACTGTAGACTGTAGGCTGAGACTGTAGACTGAGACTGTAGACTGTAGGCTGTAGACTGTAGACTGTAGACTGAGACTGTAGGCTGTAGGCTGTTCTTTACAGCTGATCACAGTGAATGGAACAAACTCTAGCAGCAGTACTAGTCAGGTCTGTGGAGATGACTCTCACTGTTTAACTATGTTGTCACAACAATCAAAGATGATCATCAGTCTTTACTACTAAATTATGAACAATGACACAAGTTTTATCATTTCATTCAAACTTTATTTTTTAAAATGGTCTCAAAGCTCTTCATCATGAGTCAAACATTCTGTGTGTAAAAACATGAAGTGCCCCGTGACACCAGGGCAGTGCGATCAGCTGCTGTAGAGTTTACTTCAAAATCATAACACTGATAAAATGAACATGTTGCTCAACAGCACACGCACACACAGACACACACACACACACACACACAGACACACACACACACACACACACACACACAGACACACACACGCAGACACACACACACAGGCACACGCACACGCACACAGACACAGACACACACATGCAGACACACACGCAGACACACACACACACGCACACGCACACGCACACAGACACAGACACAGACACACACACGCAGACACACACGCAGACACACACACACACGCAGACACACACACACGCAGACACACACGCACACACAGACACACACACGCAGACACACACACAGACACACACACGCACACACAGACACACACACGCAGACACACACACACACACAGACACACACACACGCAGACACACACACACACGCAGACACACACACACACGCAGACACACACACACACGCACACGCACACGCACACAGACACACACAGACACACACACGCAGACACACACACACGCACACGCACGGGCACAGACACACAGACACATGCACACAGGCGCACACAGACACACACACACACACAGACATAGACACAGACATAGACACGCACACAGACACACAGACACACAGGTCATTAGAGGGATTTGAATTACAGAAAGTGTGTGGACTTGTTCCTAAGATTCACGTTCTTAAGTAATTATAGTGTATTTTGCCTGATGATGTGAATAAGCAGCAGGTCAGAGGTCAGACAAAAGCACAGATCTGGTTTAAAGCCCAAGGGCAAAAACATAGTTAATGCTGCGGTACCTAACTTTTCTGGTCATAATGTCTGTCCACTGGCTAAGGGGTGTTCACCAGTGGACAGACAACATTATACTGTCTTTATCTTCTTAGAAAACATGTTCATCTTTAGTAAGAAAGAACCCAAAGAGTCTTGACACTTCCACCGTGAAGACAAATACATGCAGGTGGAAACAAATACATTTTAAATTGATTCAGGAACTAGTTAGATTTCTATTATTTTTAGTTTGTTTTTGTTTTGAATATTAGCCACCCCAGCTTAGAATTGACTCAATCTTTAAAGTTTTAAAAGTTTGCTTGAATATATGGTGTTACTTTCTGGCTAGACTCATGCAGTCGTGACAAAGGTTTCGATGAGATCACGGGTGGAGGGAATCCATGTTAGAACTCATTACTTCCTGCTATTTTTAAAGCTTTTTCAACTTTGTGTAACTTGATTGATAGAAAACTAGTATAAATATTTACCGGTGGCTCAGTCCCACTAAGAAAACTCATCACTTGCATACAAATATAAGGAAAAGGAATGTCAAAAGGAACTTCCAGAAGCAGATGTCACTGTGAGGCGGGCAGAAGTGCTGCAGTGTCCCGACCTTTGGGGAGTGTCTGTTTCCTGGACAGAGCCAGGGGGTGTGGCTTAGTGCGGCCCATGCTGTGAGGAGGTGTAGCCGAGTGAGATGCGCCGATTGCTGACTGCCATTCCCTGTACAGAAGATGCACACAAGGTTACAGAAACGTGTGGCTCTGGGTTTGTTACAATCGCTGCGATGAAAGGTATTTATGAACATTTCCTCAAAGCATAAAGAGGCAAATTAAAATCAAAAGTAATTCCAAAGCTGTATAGGGCGATACAAGATATGGGAAGTGCTGATGTTAACAGTGTAACATTTTCTGGATCCATAAACTGGAGAGAATTTGTAAGGAAGAACACGATTCTTTCATACTGCCTTCAGGAGCCTCAATTGGAAGGGATACATCGTGCTGGAGTGAGTGTTTTCATATATTTTGGGGCAGCCCAAAGCTGTCATCTTTTTGGTTACAGGTAAAAAACATTATGGAAAGGGTTATTGGTCTTGCCTTACCACATATCTCAACTTGAAGGACAGGAAAAAGTATAAAAGTATAATTACTATAAACTATTGACTGCAGTAAAGAGAAGTATTACAATGAGATGACTCCGTGATATTTTACAAGCACTAGAAGTAAGAAAGTATTAAGTAATCTTTATGTATATACCGCCTTTCACAGACCAAAGTCACAAAGCGGTTTACAATTGTGGGCATTTGTCCTCTCACTCCACACGGAGATGGGAGCAGGGCCTAGAAGATTGGTTCAATGTCATTCATACAATTTATTGAATGAAAAATCTCACATATTCATCGAGACTCGCACTGGACAAATTTGATAAACATTGGGAAGCTTAGAAACTGTTCATTGCTCTACACTGCTTATCTGATATAACTATCTCATGTAGCCATTTTGTTTTGTTTTGTCTTTCATTTCTACTTTTCATTTTATGATTGTTTAAATGAAAAAATATGGGACTTTTCTTTTGCAAAAAGGGACTTTTATAATATAATAGTTGTATAATTGTACAATTTACTATTGTGCTAATAAAAGATTTAATTGGAATGTGTGTGTGTGACTCACAGCGGTGCAGGGGCCAACGCCCAGGAGCCTCTGCAGCCGATCCTGGGACACCCCGTTGGATTGCTTGTATCCGTGGACGATCATTTTGTTGAGATCGTGAAAGACCTCCAGCAGCCTGTAAAAGAAGTCAGTGACACCCGTTACTACATCTCCCATTATTCTGCGTATAACATCGGCGTGTAACAAGAACACCTCTAACGAAGGCTGAAGTCTACCGCCGAAAACTGTCACTTTTGCCTTAGTAAAGAACATTCTAGGCCTGTCAATGTGAATGTGGAAATCACCAATGAAGAGAAGAGACGGAGAGATGGAAGACAGCTGTAATAGAGACACAGGACAAACCTTTGTCCCAACTTCAGACGCACTTTTTTATTTCATTATTCCTCATCCAGGACCAAATGTATATGTTGATGCTGAGTCGACCAGAGACTTCAAAGCACTACTGCACTTTCCTCTAATGTGGTGCAGTACTCTTTCCATTTCCAAATGATGAATTGAATAGTGCTCAAATAAATAAAATAAATAAATAAAGATTACTTACTTACAGTGAGATGTTAAAATCTTGGGAAATGTTATTTTGCCATAACTGTAAGCCTAACATTTCTGCTCCTGGGCCTCAGGATGTTGTTTAGGGCCATTACAATCAATCAATCAATCAATCTTTATTTATAGGGCGCTTTTCCTGCACAGGGCAACACAAAGCGCCTCACAGTCCACACCACACAATGCACAAATCATCACCATTAAAATACAATTAAAAACACATATGTAATTAAAAAGCATTAAAATCACATAAGTAATTTAAAAACATAAGAATCACACAAGTAATTAAAAACAATAAAATAGTTAAAAACACAAAAAGTTACAACAATAAATAACAAGGTGTGTTAAAAAGATAAAATTCTCTAGTTGTATGCACAGGAAAAAAGAAAAGTCTTTAACATGGATTTGAACATTGACAGAGAGGCAGCCAGTCTCACATCCTCAGGAAGACTGTTCCAGACTCCAGCTGCATAGATCTGAAAAGCAGCCTCCCCCTGTCTAGTCCTGACTCTGGGCACTAACAGGAGTCCCGTCCCTGCGCTCCTCAGAGTCCGGGCTGGTTCATATGGGACTAGCATATCATGGATGTACTTTGGTGCAAGGCCATGGAGAGACTTGTACACCAGGAGAGCTGCTTTAAAGTCTATCCTCTGGGCCACGGGAAGCCAGTGCAGAGACCTGAGGACCGGACTAATGTGGTCGTACTTCCTGGTTCTAGTCAGGACTCGGGCTGCAGCATTTTGAATATACTGCAGCTGTTTTACTGCATGTTTGGACAGACCTGTGAGCAGGCCATTGCAGTAATCCAGCCTACTGGAAACAAAAGAATGGATAAGAATCTCCAAGTCTGCCCTGGACACAATATTTTTAATTTTGGCAATATTTTTCAGATGATAAAAAGCTGCTGATGTTACCGATCCAATGTGGCTATTGAAGTTTAAGTCAGAGTCCATTATTACTCCCAGATTTCTGACCTTATTTAAAGGCCTTAGGGAGAGAGACTGAAGGTGACAAATGACGGTCTCTCTTTGTTTCTCGGGACCAAAGACAATCATTTCGGTTTTGTCCGCATTTAGCTGGAGAAAATTGCATTGCATCCACTCACTGATCCGCTGGATACAGCGAAGGAGTGAGTCCACCGGTCCATGCTCTCCTGCAGTCAGTGAGACATAGATCTGAGTGTCATCAGCGTAATTGTGGTAGGACACTTTCATACTTTGAATTAACTGACCTAATGGCAGCATGTAAATATTGAACAGGAGAGGTCCCAGAATCGACCCCTGTGGCACTCCGCAGGTCAGGGCCATATTATCTGAGCCATAGTCTCCAATCTCCACACAATACTTCCTTTCTTCTAGATAGGACCTAAACCAGCTTAGGGCAGTACCAGCAACACCAACCCAGTCCTCCAGTCTCTGCATGAGAATCTCATGGTCAACGGTGTCGAAAGCGGCACTCAGATCTAACATGACTAAAACAGAGACTTTTCCTGCATCAGTGTTAAGCCGAATATCATTTGTTACCTTGACTAGAGCGGTCTCAGTACTGTGGTGTGGTCTAAAGCCAGACTGGAACATGTCAAATGAGTCATTAGATATTAAAAATTCAGTAAGTTGTTGGTAGGCAACTTTTTCAAGAATTTTTCCCATGAAAGGCAGATTTGAGATGGGACGGTAATTTTCAAGTACCGCAGCATCCAAACTGCTCTTTTTTAGGAGGGGCCTGATGACTGCCTTTTTCAGGGCCATTGGAAATGTTCCAGATAAAAAAGACATGTTTACTATTTGTGTCAATGAGGGTAATAGACTACACATAACAGACTTCAGGAATCTAGGAGGTAGTACATCCAGACTGCAGGTAGAGGAACTAAGACCTGTGATTATCTTTTTAACAGTTTCATCATTGACAGGTGCAAATTGAGCTAGCTCACAAAGCCTCACTGGATGTTGCATTGTTACTTGTGTTGTAGAGGTGATGGCATTTCTGATACCCTGAACCTTGTCTCTGAAGAACTGTGCAAACTCATTACACCTGGATTTGGAGTAGTGTTCTAATGGCAACTCAACAGGGGGGTTCGTTAATCTATTGATTGTTGAAAATAGAACACGCAGATTATTGCTGCAGCCTTCAATAGTTTCAGAAAAGTATAATTCTCTTGTTCTACGTAGTACTCTGTTAAACTCACACAACTTCTCTTTTAAGAGTTTATAATCACCCTGGAGGTTGGACTTTCTCCCACTTTCTCTCTGCTCTCCGGCACTCCTGCTTCTGTGCCCTGACCGGGCCTGCTTTTATCCATGGGGCTTTTTGCTTATTTGTGACCATTTTTACCTTCACAGGGGCAATGGCGTCCAGAACATTCAACACACTAGAGGTGACAGAGTTAAACAGTTCATCTACAGTAGAACATGATGTGTTCTCAAAATGGATCATTCCCATAAATAGTTCACCCGTGTTTTCATTTAAGTGTCTACTTCTAACAATTTCATATTTAGCGGGTGGTCTGGTAGCAAAACACATGTTAAAAAATACACAGAAATGATCCGACAGAGCAACATCAACTACATTAACTTTTGAAATATTCACCCCTTTCGTGATAAGCAGGTCCAGGGTGTGTCCTCTGCTATGGGTGGGGCCACTCACATGCTGAGTGAGGCCAAAGGATTCAAGTATGGAACTCAGCTCTTTTGCGTATCTGTCATTAACATTATCCACATGAATATTAAAATCACCTATAATGACTAAACCATCAAATCTGTGCACACAACTGAATATTAAACTCAGTGAAATGATCAGTGAAACTATGGCATGACTGTGGCGGCTTGTACACAACAATAATAAGAATGGAAGAAGATTTCTTCTATTTTAAAAGAAACATACTCAAATATATTGTCACTCTATGGGAGACAATACGATCTTTAAAAACTGCTGCTATGCCCCCCCCCCCTTTTATTTTCTTGTGTTTCATATTCAAATTTGAAATTTGGTGGTGAGGCTTCTATTAAAACTGCATCTCCTGTATTATGGTCAAGCCATGTTTCAGTCATAAACATAAAATCAAGATCATACGAACAGATAAAATTATTAATTAAAAATGATTTGTTGCATAGTGATCTGACATTAAGTAGAGCAAGGTTAAAATTAATATCAGTGTCAGTGGGTTTAGTTGATTGATTACAAAGAACTGGAATTAGATTTCCAGAGTTGGACCGTCTAACTGCTGTCCTTCTTTTAAATTTGTGTTTATTCAAGTTAAAACACATTTCTGAGCTGGTGCGAGGAACACACACAGTCTCTATTGGTTTAAAAAGTGAACTCTGTTGTACTTTGTTAAGTTCCAGATGCATGGGACAGAGTAAGCACAGTTTCAGTGGCAGGACTGTCGTTACACTGCCAGACGGACAGGGGTCAGTGGTTTGCACCACAGTACTCACCCGGTGCTGGTAAGGAAGAGGAGGGGGTGGTGGTGGGGGCCGAGAAGCCTCAGATGTAAACAGTCACGCCCCCCTCGGGGAGCACTGAACAACATGGCGATCAAGGCGTATGCTCACAGTCAGAGAGCAGCCGTCCTCCTGTGGACTCACCACCTGCAGAGGGTCAGTGAGGGGCTGGTGCTATGAGACTTGGGTGGCATCTCTGACTGCCACCCCCCCCCTGACCCAGTGTATTAATAAATGTGTATTAATAATGTACATGTGATTTAATAGGTAGAAATGGATGGATGGATGGATACAACTCTTTCGTACTCTTCGACTTCGTCTGAGGACAGCTTCCTTTAAGAGTGTCTTTCTCGCAGTGGACCTGGATCCACGGACAAGCAGTAGAGTTTGCTGCAGAGTCCAGGGGTTCTGCTGAGGGGGCTGGGATGTCAGCGGAGAGGGCTGCATAGCGGTTTGAAAGGCTCAGGACATGGGCCACGGCGCTGGATGGCTCCTCGCAGTCCGCAGGCTCTTTATTCCGAACCGGGCACTTAGGTGTAGAGCAAGAGGGTCCAGAGCTGACAGATCTCTCCCACACGACAGTGTCACAGTATGCAGCGCTCAGTGACATAAGCCGTGAGTGCTGCCCGCCGGCGACATCAAAAAGTTTGGACACGAGTGACTGTTTATCCTGCAGCTCTGCAGTGAGGCGAAGGACTTCTTTACGGAGGTCTGCAATAGTGGCACGGTCCCTCTCACGAAGCTCCAATGTGAGGCGACTAATGTCGTTCGTGGTCATTGCAGTGTCACTTTCCATGTCTGTGGTGCGCTCGTGGTAGCCTCCGAGCTAGCGCGTTTCGATTGGGTCTTTGTGTTAAAAGACGTGATGCTCTGGAACCATTGCATTTAAGATAATAAAACACTAGAGTGTACAAAAGGCACTAATACACCGTAAAAACGTGTTTAAAAGGCTTTAAAAGGCTTAAAAGGGTAAACAGAGCAGAGACGTCAAAACGCGTCAAGTCCGGTGCAGGACTGAAGCCATTACCCTCAGACTATAGCCCTGAATACAGCCCTGAGGCCCTCACAGAGCTGGATTTAAAAGAGTAGATTACCTACAGGAGGCCTCTATATAATCCATGGGACGAGCTGTGAACATTCAGCAGTCTTTAGGAATGTTTTAAAGGACATTTAATGCACTCAGAAAGAAGCTATATGAATACTTGGGCATTTTCACTTTTTTTTCTTTTTGAAATAACAACAGAATCATATAATTTCACATTTACTTCACAGTTGTCTGTTACTTGTTTCTGAACGTTCAGTAATAAATTCAAAATAAAATAAGTTTTTTACTGTATTAACACTTTTGCAAGGCAATGTGTTAATACAATGTTTGTATTCTAAAGGCTTTATAATATCCATGCAGAGCACCTGGTAGATTTGATTTTATTTATTGACTAGACCCAGGGCAGACCTTGGACTTCATCACAAAAATGTTACTTTTTTATTTCTTTAATACCAGCCAATTGGAAGATAGCAATGTTATTACCTTGGCACAAAATGTCCTTATTACAGCGTTGCAATACAGTCGTAATAACATTGCTGTCTGGTAGAGAAGAATCAAATAATTGTGGTCTACTGAGAGGAGAACAAGAGTCTGTTAGCGCCAACACCCAAACAGCAGCTACAGTAACGTTTATACAGTATTTACTAAAACAACATGTAGAGGATTGTCTTTCTCTGTGCAAACCGTTCCCACTTATAATTAGGAGTAGTCAGAGGCCAAAACTACAGTACCGAAGCTTCTCAAAACGACCTAAAACACGTTCAATTTAAATGTTTACAGATTTTCTTCAGGCTTTTTGGAGAAATTATGCTGGAGTAAATATCATAAATAACAGTTATTGTTATAGTTTAGACATCTCACCTCCGCTCTGCAGGAGTGCCCTCAGGCCTCTCATGGCCCCGAAGCAGCTGGGTCAGAGTGGGTGTTGGGCAGTGCCCAAGGCCAGAGGCAGACAAGGCAAGAGGAGGGAAGGCTGCGGTGAACACACACACCTGGAGAGAAGATGGTCAGTTATGGTGACCAGCAGATTCACTGCCATGCAAAAGAGCATTATGTATGTAAAAATAGGCACTTACCGGAGTGTATCTCGCCCCTGGTGTTGTACCCCTGTCCCCCAAAGGCCACCACTGCCCTCCCTCGTCTTCTTCTTGCTCTGTCATATCAGGAGGGAACACTGCCCAGGAGGAGTGGTCCCAGCTGCTGCCGTCTGCATCTGGCCACAGCAACAATGGAAGTTACAAACATTTAGATCACACGTGTGATCATTTGAGACTAGAATTATTTAATCAGACATGGAGGTCTGTGGCTCAGGGGTAAACTTGAACTTGGAGGTCTGTGACTTGGGACCAGGAGCCAGGAAAATTGTGGCAGCCCAAGGGCGGCTTGCGTAAGTGTCAGCGTATTCTTGCAACCCAGTCCACATCCACCCAGCGGCTACACCACCTCTACATCTGTGACCTGTCCTGCTCCACCCAGCGGCTACACCACCTCTGCTGCTGTGACCTGTCCTGCTCCACCCTGCGGCTACACCACCTCTGCTGCGGTGACCTGTCCTGCTCCACCCAGCGGCTACACCACCTCTACAACTGTGACCTGTCCTGCTCCACCCAGCGGCTACACCACCTCTGCTGCTGTGACCTGTCCTGCTCCACCCTGCGGCTACACCACCTCTGCTGCTGTGACCTGTCCTGCTCCACCCAGCGGCTACACCACCTCTACAACTGTGACCTGTCCTGCTCCACCCAGCGGCTACACCACCTCTACAACTGTGACCTGTCCTGCTCCACCCAGCGGCTACACCACCTCTACAACTGTGACCTGTCCCGCTCCACCCAGCGGCTACACCACCTCTGCTGCTGTGACCTGTCCTGCTCCACCCTGCGGCTACACCACCTCTGCTGCTGTGACCTGTCCTGCTCCACCCAGCGGCTACACCACCTCTACAACTGTGACCTGTCCTGCTCCACCCAGCGGCTACACCACCTCTACAACTGTGACCTGTCCTGCTCCACCCAGCGGCTACACCACCTCTACAACTGTGACCTGTCCCGCTCCACCCAGCGGCTACACCACCTCTACAACTGTGACCTGTCCCGCTCCACCCAGCGGCTACACCACCTCTACAACTGTGACCTGTCCTGCTCCACCCAGCGGCTACACCACCTCTACAACTGTGACCTGTCCCGCTCCACCCAGCGGCTACACCACCTCTACAACTGTGACCTGTCCTGCTCCACCCAGCGGCTACACCACCTCTACAACTGTGACCTGTCCTGCTCCACCCAGCGGCTACACCACCTCTACAACTGTGACCTGTCCTGCTCCACCCAGCGGCTACACCACCTCTGCTGCTGTGACCTGTCCCGCTCCACCCAGCGGCTACACCACCTCTACTGCTGTGACCTGTCCTGCTCCACCCAGAGGCTACACCACCTCTGCTGCTGTGACCTGTCCCGCTCCACCCAGCGGCTACACCACCTCTACAACTATGACCTGTCCTGCTCCACCCAGCGGCTACACCACCTCTGCTGTTGTCGTTTTGTGCAAATGTAATTATGGCCTCAAAATTTGACAGAATTTTGATTGTTCGACGCCGCTTGTGGCTTTAATTATTTTTGTGTTTTTTGGTGTAAGACTAAAATGTTCATATTGTAGGGGGTGCTATTGTACTACAATAATGCCATTGTTTGCACATGTATACAAAGTCCGATTTGCACACAATTTGAATTGGTTGTTCAACTTTCGGGTTTGGGTCAACTGAAAGTGTAAAACATGAAATTGCAGCATTAGCGCCCCCTACAGAGTGAGTCATTTTCACACATGTCGGTTGGAAAGCGACTCCTCCTCGGCCGTTTCACCGATTTGCCTCAAAATCGCTCCACATCATCTCAACACATGTACCTTCATTTTGATTTCAGACTTTTGATCAATTAAACGTTGTTCGAGTTTGTACTAAACTTGACTCTGTTGTTCTACTCCTGGGCCTAGGTCACCTGAAGGTATGAAATATCAAATTGTCTCTTTGGCGCCCACTGAGCCAAAATGTTACATGGTTTGTCAAACCAACTGATCATATTCTTTACAATTTCACAAACATTGTTCAATGGCTCCGGGAGCAAATTATGGCGCGGCGCCTTGGTTTTGCACGGTGCAGCGAGGGCCGTTCGACGCCGCTTTCAGCTTGAATTATATATTATATTACTTATTTTTTTCTTCTCTTCTTTGAACCTTAATTTGACCCCCTGAACATGCATGAAAAGTTGCCAAATTTGGCCCAAAATTCAGAACCGGCGAAAAATATATTTTTATGGGACTAAAAAAATGCCAGAACAGCGCCCCCTACAGAAGTCAGTTTACATTGCGCCTATGGGAGGGGGTCGGAGGTCAAGTCTGTCGTAGAGCCACAACATTAGGTGCACTAGTTCCTCAACTCAAATCATGGAAAAAAAAGTTATTATGGCCACGCCCCCAGACCAACAGGGAGCTCATTCATGTCAATGGAAAATGGAAAAATGAAAATTGAAACTTTTTCACACATTTGGAAAGCGAATCCCCCTCGGCCGTTTCACAGATTTGTCTCCACATGGTCTAAACACATGTACCACCAATAGTTCATAATCAGTTGAACGTTGTTTGAGCAGCGGAGCGGCAAAATGTGATTGTTTTTTTTTTCAATTTTTGACAAAAGCAAATTTGCTCCCGTTTGCACAAAGTCCAATTTGCACAAAACTTTCATCCACTTTTCCACTCCAGGGTCTAGGTCAGTGGTTCTCAAACCTTTTACACCAAGCACCACCTCAGAAAATACTTGCCTCTCCAAGTACCACCACAAACAACCAACACTAAACAGTAGCATAATCAATCATCCATCCATCCATCCATTTTCTTCCGCTTCATCCGTTGCCGGGTCGCGGGGGCAGCAGTCTAAGCAGAGACGCCCAGACTTCCCTATCCACACACACTTCCTCCAGCTCGTCCGGGGGGACCCCAAGGCGTTCCCAGGCCAGCTGAGAGACATAGTCCCTCCAGCGTGTCCTGGGTCTTCCCCGGGGCCTCCTCCCGGTGGGACGTGCCCGGAACACCTCCCCAGGAAGGCGTCCTGGAGGCATCCTGAACAGATGCCCGAGCCACCTCAACTGGTTCCTCTCGACGTGGAGAAGCAGCGGCTCTACTCCGAGCTCCTCCCGTGTGACTGAGCTCCTCACCCTATCTCTAAGGGAGCGCCCAGCCACTCTGCGGAGGAAGCTCATTTCGACCGCTTGTATCCGCGATCTCGTTCTTTCGGTCATTACCCAAAGCTCATGACCATAGGTGAGAGAGGGAACGAAGATTGACCGGTAAATCGAGAGCTTTGCCTTTCGGCTCAGCTCCCTCTTTACCACAACGGTCCGATACAGCTCTGACTGCAGACGCTGCTCCCTCTTTACCACAACGGCCCGATACAGCTCTGACTGCAGACGCTGCTCCCTCTTTACCACAATGGTCCGATACAGCTCTGACTGCAGACGCTGCTCCCTCTTTACCACAACGGTCCGATACAGCTCTGACTGCAGACACTGCTCCCTCTTTACCACAACGGTCCGATACAGCTCTGACTGCAGACGCTGCTCCCTCTTTACCACAATGGTCCGATACAGCTCTGACTGCAGACGCTGCTCCCTCTTTACCACAATGGTCCGATACAGCTCTGACTGCAGACGCTGCTCCCTCTTTACCACAACGGTCCGATACAGCTCTGACTGCAGACGCTGCTCCCTCTTCACCACAACGGTCCGATACAGCTCTGACTGCAGACGCTGCTCCCTCTTCACCACAACGGTCCGATACAGCTCTGACTGCAGACGCTGCTCCCTCTTCACCACAACGGTCCGATACAGCGACCGCATCACTGCGCACGCTGCACCGATCCGCCTGTCAATCTCACGCTCCATTCTTCCCTCACTCGTGAACAAGACCCAGAGATACTTGAACTCCTCCACTTGAGGAAGGACCTCTCCACCCACCTGCAGAGGGCAAGGCACCTTTTTCCGGTCGAGCACCATGGCCTCGGATTTGGAGGTGCTGATTCTCATCCCAGCCGCTTCACACTCGGCTGCAAACCGTCCCCATAATCAATCAATCAAGTTTATTTATAAAGCACAATTCATGCAGTGCAGCCCAAAGTGCTTCACAAGAACACAAGTTCATACACATTTACAAACATTTTAAAACACATAAAACGTAATATAAAATAATAACAAAAACAATAATAATTGTTGCATAAAAATAAACATTTCAAACTGAATTTCAGAATTAAAAACGGTATAAAAAGCTCAATATATAAAAGTCAGTCATATACACAGCTAAAAAGAACGGTTTTCAGCTTAGACTTAAATAATGCTAAAGATGAGGCCTCCCGTACATCCTCAGGAAGGCTGTTCCAGATTTTTGGGGCATACACCTGAAATGCAGCCTCTCCAGGCAAGGCAAGGCAAGTTTATTTGTATAGCACAATTCATACACAAGGCAACTCAAAGTGCTGAACAAGATAGCATTAAAATCATAAATTATCACAAAACATTAAAACGAAAGATAAAAATATAAAATCCCTCAGTTGTAGCACAGCTAAACAGCACCGTTTTTAACTTGGTTTTAAACATTGTCAGAGAGGAGGCCTGTCTCACATCTTCAGGAAGATTGTTCCAGATTTTTGCGGCATGAATCTGAAAAGCAGCCTCCCCATGTTTAGTTCTGACTCTGGGCACTAACAGGAGTCCAGTCCCTGTGCTCCTCAGAGTCCCAGCAGGAGTCCAGTCCCTGTGCTCCTCAGAGTCCCAGCAGGAGTCCAGTCCCTGTGCTCCTCAGAGTCCCAGCAGGAGTCCAGTCCCTGTGCTCCTCAGAGTCCGGGCTGGTTCATATGGGACTAACATGTCACTAATATATTTTGGTGCGAGGCCATGGAGAGACTTGTAACAAGCAGAGCTGTTTTAAAGTCTATTCTCTGAGCCACAGGAAGCCAGTGCAGAGACCTGAGAACTGGACTAATGTGTACTTCCTGGTTCTAGTCAGGACTAATGTGGTCGTACTTCCTGGTTCTAGTCAGGACTAATGTGGTCGTACTTCCTGGTTCTAGTCAGGACTAATGTGGTCGTACTTCCTGGTTCTTGTCAGGACTCGAGCTGCTGCATTTTGAATGTACTGCAGCTGTTTTACAGCCTGTTTGGACAGACCTGT